TAAAAATTCATTGATAATATGTAAACAATAAACGTTACAAAATAATTTATTGCAGGAAATTTTAAGTTGAATGTTGTTATCACACCTACATGCATTAATAATATTATTATATGTTTTCCATTATTAAAAAAATTTCTCTGTGTTTCTATTTCTTGCTCTATTATGGATAAATGCACTTAATCATGTATCCTCAATGCGCAATTGTACAATTTTTCATATAGACTTGAATAAGTAATTTTTTTGAAAATTGTTATGATTTATATTTATGTTGCTTTAATTTAAATTATTTCCTTATGTATTTAGATTAAATAATGAGAAACTATGTTTTTAATATTTTTAATTTTCAAATATGTACATGATTTTACATTTAAAAAACATGTTTTACGAAATATAGACATTTAAATAGAATGCGGTTCATATTTATTATTTTAAACTTTTGGTTTTCTTAATTTGTCAAATGTGCATGATTTTAGATTTTTCTTTTTTCTTTTTTTTAGTATTGTGGGAGGAAGATTCAAACATTGATCTACTATCAGGTCATACATGCACTTATTACTAGGTTATGCCTTGGTGTGTGTATGATTTTATATTTAAAAGACATGTATTATGAAATATAAAACATTTAAATAAAGTGCAGTTCATATTTAGTATTTTAAACTTTTGTTTTTCTTATCATTTTTGTTGAAAATGTTTTGTAATTGTAACTATTTATGTTGTATGTTATTGTTTTTTTTTTTTTTAGAGAATGTGTATTGTATGTTGAAATTTAATGTAATCTATATAGTTTTTGGAATTTTCATGTAATAAACTAAAAATTGTATTAAGATAAGAAATTATTGCAATTAAATGATTGTAAAAAGATACAATTGCCATGTACTAATAATAATTAAATTAAATTTATTTTAAGTATTTGTTTGTTTAGTGTATAAAAATTAAATAATATTCTTTCCGTCCCATTTTGTTTGCATGATTTGAAAAAAATACGCATATTAACAATTTAGTCAATAAAATTATTTTGCTATTTTTTACCCTTAATTCATTAAGATATTAATAAAAATTTTCATTTAATAAACAATTATAAATGTTATTATGAAAAAAAATAATTGTTTACATATCTAAATTTAAAAATTTTGCAAACATTTTGGGACATTCAAAAAAGAAATAATAAGCAAACAAAATCGGACGGAGGAAATATCTTATATAGAGTTGTGATTTGGAGTAGCATTTTGTTTTAGTTATTTGGTATTTTTGACATTTAAATATGTTTGTATTAAATTATTTAAACTTTTAATTTTCTTGTTGTTTTGTTTGTAACTATTATTTGTAACTGTTGATAATTAATATAGTTTTTGAAATTCTTAAATACTGATCTTAAATATTTATTAACACAATAAATTATTGTAATTGAACTGATATAATTATTTATTTAGTCGTTTCGAATTCTTATATATTTAGTTTTAATGGTTATTAATGTTATAAATTTTTTATAATTAAGAGGTATAAAATATTTAATTATTATTAAAAAATTTAATTATAATGCAAAATATTTAATTCAATTAGTTAACTTCATTATTGTAGTTTGTAACTCCTTTATTTAATAAAACAATTGATGTAATAGAATTACATTAATAATTTAAGTAATTAATATTTTAATGGAATTATATTAATAAAATATAATGTAATGGAATTATATTGATAATGAAATTTTTAAAAACACTTTCCTTACAAAATAAATTTTCATGCCCTTTCAACATCTTAACATTTTGAATCTATGAGGTTCGGTTGTATTTTTATATATTTATATAGATAGATAGATATAGATATAAGAAATTCTAAATTATATATGTGCGACACAATATGGAAATTACTTACATACACGCGGTGTATAGATGATTCATTCATAAAGTCAATATTAATAGCCATTTTGAAAATTTATTGCTATTTTATGTTTTATCCATTTTTCTCTGATCAAAGGATACAAATGCCCTCATTTATCTTATGTATTTTTGTTTAGATTGATTTCACATATCAGTGGACCCTACATAAAATGTAGATATGTATGTCTCTATGCATATCATGGAACAAATGTATGGTTATGATTAATAAGACCGAAAAAATCAAGCTATTTGCCCACTGTTTCCGATTTGATTCAGTAAAATTTCGATTTGATTTGAGTTCGGTATCTAAACAAATCAAGTTTGAATTTAAGGAAATTTGGCTCGATAAGGCTCACGGATTGGCTCATTTATTATACTCTTAAATAGGCTTGTGAGTTAAATCATTTATTAAGCTTGCAAACAATTTCATTTATCTTTTTTTTTGTCCGATTAAAAGACATCGATACTCTCATTTTTTTTAGTTAACTTAATATTAGGGTGATTCTCTCAAATAATGATGTGCATAGACTTTCTAAAATTGACAAATTAATCAAAAGAAATTAGCAATTTACATTTATCCTTGTTTGAATTAATTTAAAATAATTAGTTTTATCAGCCTACTTATTTTTTTTTGTACAATTTTTTAGTTCATTAGCTTTAGTGGCACCTTATTCTTTTCGTAATGGAATTTTTATTTTTATTTTTTATATGTGGGAGACTCAAAGAACCGGCATAATATTGTGGGTTATACTATATGGGGCAGCTCTCCCTTTTGAATAATATTTACCAAATTGATTGTAATTTAATAATGAAAAGTATTCGAACTCGAGATATCTCACTCTCTATATCTGTTAGGAGAGATAGAAGATTAACCAAATCATACCTAATTGGTTGAAATCTCCATTCATTGAGGTAAAGATGACATGAAAATGAAGTTGCATAGCTTGTGGTCGAGTTGGAAAATAGAGAGAACAATCCTACAATTAATTAATAAAATTGCAGATGACGTTATTATATCATTTTATTTATATATATATAAAAGAAAATCATGGCTATTCTCACGCGTGCTTATATGACATCTCCACCAACATTATAAAATATAAATAATATTGTCTAATTATTATTCCTCTCACCTTATTCAATTTATAAAATTACTCAAATATTATTAGATTTTTTAATAGAATTAATTAATAATGATTTATGTATCAAATATTTTACCTTATTCCTTTCCACCTTTTTATCTTTCATTTTCTAACCAACAATTAAATTTTTACTATTTCTAAAATTTATTTAGTTAAATCGATGACAATTTATGCATCAATTTGAAAAATTTTATCTATTTTGTTTTAGATTTATATGCAAATTAAAATTTAATTAAAATCTAAAATTTTAAGGAGCTTTAAAATTAAAATGCTAAAAAAAAGCATAAATTTCTAGTTTCCATCATCAAACATTACCTCTCTAATTTATGGGTTTTTTATCAAATTGTTTTTGATAGGTTTTAAGCACAAAAAATGCTTTTATGTGTTTCCCATATTAAATAAAATAAAATGCCTTTTAAGATATATATCACTAAAATTAAAATTCAAAAGTGAAAAAATATGCTTTCATCAAATTAAAATTAAAAATCCTTCTTCTTCTGATGACCTATTAAATATTCTAATTTATATTTCTCTACTCATAATTTTTGTAGATCCTTTTTTTTATTATATTTATTTATTTATGTCTTGCTCAAGTATATAAAACTTTTCTATTTCTCCTATTTCATTGTTTTCATCCCTCGCTTTTTTTATCTATCACATTTTTTACTTCACATCAATTCTCAAATTTAATTTTTTTTCCCAAATAATTCAAACCATACATTTATTTTTTTTTATTATGCATATGCTGTATTATATTACTGTGCTTTGGTATTGTTTAAAATCTTTAAAATTTGGTTTTCAAGTTATGGAATTTGAATAAATTCTTCAAGTATATATATATATATATATATCCAAATATGCAGTGTTGATTATTAGTTATTAAAGTAGTTTCTTTTATCGTTATTATGTTTGTTTTAAGAATGATGGCTGTTATTAATTGTATTATTGTATTCAAATTTTCTTATCACATGCTTATTTTATAATTTAAACAATAAAAATATAAATATCACACATTTGCGTAGAGCGCGAGCTACCGTCCAGTTGTTTTTAAAGCAAACTACTATATAGACCATTCCAATCTCTCTATCTCATCAAGTGTTAAGAGTTCTAATCATTCAATAGTAATAAAAAAATTCTCTCAACCGAAAAACTCAAAAAAAAAAAAAAAAAAAAAAAAAAAAAAAAAAAAAAAATAAAAAAAAAAAAAAAAAAAAAAAAAATCTTTCTTTCAATAAAATGGCAAGCAAGATTGTTATTGTTGCCCTCTTTTTGGTCGCCATTGTTGGTGTTGTTTCGGCTGCTCCCGCTGCTGAAGGCACTGCTGCCACCAAAACCGATGCTGCAAAAACCCCTGCTGCCTCCGCACCCGCCGATGATGCTGCAAGTGCACCAGGTGATGCTGAAGGACCATCCGGCGGTGCATCATCAACTGAGCAAAGCCCTTCTGCTGAATCACCAACCGCAGCTGCAAGCGGTGCTACTGTTTTTGGAGTCTCAGCTGTTGGCATAACAGTGGTTTTCGCAGCGGTCACCGGTTATTTCATTTAAATTTCTTTTTTTTTTAATTTTATTTATAAAACCCACAATTTTTTTGAATTGTTTCAAAAAAAAAATTTTAATTTCCTTCAATATTTCAAACAAGCTATGTCTTCTTGTAATATGAATTAGCTAGGGAAATACATTCCAATATACGTTGCAGTTAGAATAAAATTTTTTTTATTGAATGCAAGTGTAATTCATTCCATACTCATTGCATGCAAGTATTTATCATAAATAAAGTAGATTTTTTTTTCTTTTTTTTTTTAAACTTTTTTCATGGACATAACATTATTTGTTAAATAAATTAATAATGAGAGGTTGTAAAGCAGTGTATTATAAGAAAATATAATTTTTCAAAAAAAAAAATTTTTTAATACTATCATTCTAATGACTGACATCATATTAAAAGAAAAATGAAAGTTTAATGATTGAAAAGTTACAAATTCTTACTCAACTTTATTGAAACCATTAGGTTACCATTACTATAATTCTTTCATCGAACTACTTGCCGTTTCGTAATCTGTCAATCACCAACGACCTGTCATTGGATTGGACACAAACTTAGCAACAAGGTCCTCTCCAAATGGCGATTTTCTTGATGTTGGTTGGTTAGACGATATAACTGTTAACTGGACGCGGCTCTCGCTTGTTGTAAACTATTCCGGAAAAAGCTTCTGTGCGTAACCACACCGCTACTGACATCGCCATGGAAACATTATCAACTAGCAACCACCGCCAACGGCAAAGCCACCACCTTGAAAACATTCTCCGTACTTCCAATTATGGTAATTTCTATGATTCTATTTCTTTTGTTTTTTATTTTTATTTTTAGTTTTAGTTTTCTAGTCATAAAACTAGAGTTACCAATACATCTTACTTGAAGGTTCTATTTTGAAAGACACCAGTTTATTAAAAATCTGATTCCTCTTTCTTTTTAGTTTTCATTTATGTTTATTACAGTTTGGAAAGCTTGATTCTTCATGCAGCTTTTCAGGCCATTTTTGTGGAATTCATTTAGAATTTCATAGTTTTGTAATTGGTATAACTGAAAGTAATTTTGCTTGTATACATTCAATTTTATGAAATTTTAATTCAGTACAACTAAACCAAATCCTAATTTAAATTCATTTATCCAACAAGCCTTAGCAGAACCATGACTAATAAAATGGGTATTGATCAGCAGCTGCTACGTATTGGTGACTTGACCATCTGCTTGTCCCAAAATGCATGTGAAATAGCCTATTCTCTGTTACTGAAGTTATTCTGTGATTTGTTTTTATTCGATCTGTCATTTGCATCTTTGTTCTTATTGTTATGATAAATTATCATGGTGATGCAACTGTTTTGTTTGTCTTTTCTACTTTGCTCCCATGGTTTTCAAAACCCTTGAAATTATTTTTAACCCTACATTATCCAATTCTGTTTGACTAATTCACTCTTAGATGAATGAAGTACTGTTTCATTGTTGTTCTTTGACCAGCAATATCATCTGCCCGCCTATGCAGGTTATAAAAGGTTCTTATGGTCTATCACAAATGCAACAAAGAGAGGTTTCAATTTACTGAGACAAAAAGAAACACGGAGAAAAGTTTTGTACCATTTCCTTTTACCACATTTTCTTTTGATCTTTGGGGATGGATTATAGGCTTGTATTTGCAGGAACTATAGCTTCTCTTTTGGCAATCGTATGGTATAGTTTAAGAGGAAAGAAGAAGAGCAGTTCCTCAGGAAAGAATTTCAAAAATGAAAATGTGAACAGCCTTGTAAAAGATATGTGCCATTCTGAAAAAGTTGCAACCGCTGACATAATTATTGTTGGTGCTGGTGTTGCTGGTTCAGCTCTTGCTCACACCCTTGGCAAAGTACAAGTTCTTTTTGTTTTTTCCTCCATGTTTGATAGCACAAATAAATTCTACTAGTCATTTGTTTGAGTTTGATCTGTAACCTTTGGTTTTCCTACTTGCTGCAGGATGGAAGACAAGTTCATGTAATTGAAAGAGATTTGACTGAGCCTGATAGAATTGTTGGTGAACTCTTGCAGCCTGGGGGCTATCTGAAGCTGATCGAGTTGGGTCTTGAGGGTATGAGAAAAGAGCATATATATCAATATTAAAGAACCAATAGTTTTGCTTTCATTCAATTAGTTATTGGCACTTACTTATCTTTCTGACATGGCAGTATATATTTCTGGATGCAGATTGTGTGGAACAAATTGATGCTCAAAAAGTATTTGGGTATGCTATTTACAAGGATGGAAAAAGCACTAAGCTATCCTATCCTCTACCAAGTTTTGAAACAAATATAGCTGGAAGAAGTTTTCACAATGGGTGTTTTATACAAAGAATGCGCGAGAAAGCTGCAACTCTTCCCAGGTAATCTTTTTTTCACCTTATCTATATTATGTTTGCTAGTCCAAGAAAATGATATAGCAGTCAAAATCCTCTTTTTTTTTTTTTTTTAATTTTTTTTTTCAGTCAAAATCCTCTTTTTTTTTTTTTTTTTAATTTTTTTTTATCTTTTTATATAGATGTTGAAGTTAGAACAAGGAACGGTTATCTTTTTTTTTTTTTTTTAATTTTTTTTTTATCTTTTATATAGTGTGAAGTTAGAACAAGGAACGGTAACTTCTCTTTTGAAAGAAAAGGGAATTGTTAAAGGAGTCCTATACAAGACCAAAACCGGTCAAGAATTGACAGCAAGTGCTCCCCTTACAATAGTATGTGATGGTTGTTTTTCAAATTTACGACGATCTCTGTGCAACTCTAAGGTGAAGAATCTATTTGTTTAATTTAAACAAACTGTTTTACAAAATTTGTTTCATCTTAATGCATAAATTCAACTTCTGCATTGTGTGGTTTCATTTTGTATAGATAATAGAGTTAAATCTCACTTTCCAATTGAGATTAATAAATGTTACATGTACTTCTGCAGGTTGATATCCCCTCTTGTTTTGTTGCTTTGGTCCTCGAGAACTGCAATCTTCCATTTGAAAATCATGGACATGTAGTTCTAGCTGATCCTTCACCTATTTTGTTCTATCGTATTAGTAGCACTGAGGTTCGCTGTTTAGTTGACGTGCCTGGCCAAAGAGTACCTGCAATTTCCAATGGTGAAATGGCCCAATATTTGAAAAAAGCTGTGGCTCAACAGGTATTTAGTTTGCAAACCTCTAAATTCGATTTTTCTGTCATTTGTTTGCTTTTAGGTAAAGCAGGAGTACTTTAATAAGATCAAATAAAACATTTGATAAATTGGGAATCAAAATAAAAAGATATGAAGGAAACAGAGATAAAATCCAGGGAGAGAAGGTTTGCAATTTTTGTTCACATTCTTTAACATGTAAAAAGGATTTTAACCGAATTAAACTACTAGGATTACACTATTGTAAAGCTACTTTCATGTTGTTAATGAGGTACTAAAAGTTAATCTCAAGACATTAGTTGCAATGCTTTATGCCTTAATCTTCTAATTTACTTGCATGTTTCAGATACCCTCTCAGTTACATGCTGCTTTCATACTTGCAATTGAGAAGGGAAATATAAAAACAATGCCAAACAGAAGCATGCCAGCTTCTCCTTATCCAACTCCAGGTGCATTATTGTTAGGGGATGCATTCAACATGCGCCATCCTTTAACAGGAGGAGGAATGACTGTGGCGCTCTCTGATATAGTTCTATTACGCAACCTTCTTAGGCCTCTACATGATCTGAACGATGCATTTGCCCTCTGTAAATACCTCGAATCCTTTTATACCCTCAGAAAGGTAAGCAACATTAATCTGTAATGTATGAAAAGTTTGCAACTCTGGGCATCCAAACGCTTTTGGTTTTCGAATCTCTATATGCTAACAAAATACCAACTCTATACTTATTTGCTTATTTACTCAACATGAGTTCTGATTTGCATATATCAAACATAAAGAGAAGTAGTAGCTAATCATATGTTGCTTTCTGTATTTGAGCAGCCAATGGCATCTACCATAAATACATTAGCTGGTGCCCTTTACAAGGTTTTCTCAGTATCAACTGATATAGCAAGGAATGAAATGCGCCAAGCATGTTTTGACTATTTGAGTCTTGGAGGTGTCTTTTCAAATGGACCAATAGCTTTACTCTCCGGACTAAATCCTCGCCCATTAAGTTTGGTCCTACACTTTTTCGCGGTGGCTATCTATGGTCTTAGTCGTTTAATGCTTCCATTTCCTTCACCTAAAAGCTTATGGACTGGTGCTAGGCTGATACAGGTATGTATCTTATACAAAATATCACTTGCGACTTTTATATTGCTTTGGTAATCAAAAATTTTTGTTGTTGGTTTCTCTCTTTCAAAGTATATATTTGCTGTTTGGACTGTACGTATAACAGTGTTTCGTTCTTCCAGGCTGCATCAGGTATCATTTTTCCCATAATGAAGGCAGAAGGCGTTAGACAAATGTTCTTTCCTCTGACTGTGACAGCATATTATAGAGCTCCTCCCACTTATTGACTCATTTTTGCAATTTCAGTAGTATTATTTATGCCGTTCTCCATCAGAAAAGAAGTGGAGATCTAATCTACAGACTCAAGTAAAAGACTTTCAGTATCTTATACACTGTACAGAAATTTTCTAGGAACTTATTCTTTGATTAGAAACAAATATTTGTTTTACAATGTATTTTTGAATTAATCAATTTTTTCAAATGAGACGAACTGTTAATCCATTGCTTTGTTCTCTTATTCTCCTCATTGGTACCTTGTAAATTAAGTGTCTTTGAATTGTTAAATTAGTATTGCAAATCAAATTACGCAACCATTGGTGAAGTATTACTCTCTCATCTAACCATTAAATGGGGGTGAGAGGATACCCGTAGTACCGAAAAAGACCAACATCAATTTCTAACTGTGACATCCGGTTTGGTTCTATTCCAAAAGCCAAAATTTTGTGAAATTCATCTTTGAAATTTGTTCCTCTCAGAGATGAGGAATCTGAAATGCCTGCAACTATTGATAATACAAAATTATTTTGGAGGGTTGTTAATAATCTTTATTAGTGAAAAATTAAGACAGGAGTTAAAAAATTCTTTTACAGAATTGAATTTAGGTTTAAAAGTCAAGTGCTTTCTTTTATTATGACAACTTGTAAATTTACTTCCATGCTATAACAACCATAAAATAAAAGCAAAAAGATTATATAACCTCCAAATCTTGGAATAATCAAATAACAATTACTATTATTTAGCCAAGAAAAGTAATTTGGAGGGAATTTAACCCTATAAATACCCTCATGTCTTCCTCTAACCATTACAATTCCAACCAACAAACACAACCTCTATTTCTGATTATTTGATACTTTCTACAATGGTGAAGAGACCTAGTTTGGGACGCCAAAAGATTGCAATCGAGAAAATTTCAAAGAAAAATCATCTACAAGTTACCTTCTCAAAGCGTCGAGCCGGACTTTTCAAGAAAGCTAGTGAGCTCTGCACTCTTTGTGGTGTTGAGATTGCAATAATAGTATTTTCTCCTGCTAACAAAGCATTTTCATTCGGTCACCCAGAAGTCGAGTCGATTTTACAGAAATTTCTTACTCGAAATCCTCCTCCAAACTCCATCAGCCACCACTTAATCGAAGCTCATCGAAATGCTAATGTTCGCGAACTCAATTCCCAATTGACAGGTATTATTAATCAATTGGAAAAAGAAAAAAACAAAGGAGAAGCTCTTAACCAAATAAGAAAATCTAGTCAAAATCAATGTTGGTGGGAATCTCCGATTGATGAACTTGGGTTGCAAGAATTACAGTATCTCAGAAATGCGTTGGAGGAGCTAAAGAAGAATGTTTCAAAACAAGTAAACAAGATCTTGCTTAATTCTGCTAATTCTTTGCCATTTCTGGAGTCAAATGGCATTGGATGTGTTAAAGATTTTGATACCAAACCTTCAGTTGAGCTTAATTCTGTTTCCTCTATTGGTTACGTCAATAATTTTGGTTATGAACATAGGATTTTTTGAGTTCAATTTTCTTGATTATTATGGAGGGTTACAAACTAGTAACTCACTAGTAAATTAATTACCTCCTACAAATAATTAATTGTTTTTTCTATTTTTGTTTTCTGATGTAAAAAAATAAATGTCTACAAATCAATAATTACCTTTATTTTTCTTCATTATTTATTAATTTTTCTTCATTTAAGGATTTAGAATTACATCGATGGATGAAATTTAAAAATGCTATCCTTGTGTAAGTCATGTTGAAACATATGCGCGGAGGTGGTTGCAGCAATAAGATAGTATTAATTACAAATATAATAATTATAACTTGGGTATTATGATTTACCGATGTGAAATATCAAATTGTTCGAGAAATCTTAGATGCCGTCGTTATTCCCATTAGCAAAATTAGAAAGGTAATAAGAAATTTCATAAAATGGCAAGCAAATTAAATTCATATGTATCAGAAATTGTAAGAATGAGATTTGATAACTTGCTAACCATCTATTATATATGGCATGGAATATATATATTTAGAAACTTATTATTTCAAAATAATTATATCACACACAACACTACTGGGCAAAATATATAAGACTGCTGGTTCAATGACAAGATTGGAAGCTTTCATTGCCTATCGATCACCAAATTCAACCCACTCACATACTTAGACTCATCACTTCCCAAGTAAAGAACTGCTTCTGCTACATCTTCTGGTTTCAAAACAACCTCTTTCAAGTTACCTGACTTGGATACTCATTCTTGGAGCTTCTCCTCCTCCATTTCCATTAGCCCTGTACATTTCCTGAACAGTGGGGTTACAATAGCTAATGGAGAAACACAATTAATCCTAATCCCATATTGACCTAACTCTGTACTAAGAGTCTTGGCCAAACCAACAACAGCATGCTTCGAGGCAGTATAAGAATGCATACCCTGATTGCAAGTAACTGAAAGGTTGCTTGCAGTAAAACCTAAGTAGAACGAAAAAGAGGAATTAGAAATTCAAAGGGGAAGCCAGAAGCTTCTATAATGCAAACTTTCTTTGCAGGAATCATAACTCTAGCGACATGTTTGTCTACCAAGAAAGCACCAAAAACATTAACATCAAAATCCCTTTTGAAATATTCATTCTTTATGTCTAAATAGAATCCATGCTTTCTGCAACGCCAGCATTGCTAATATCGAGCTTTCCATACTTGGAAATGGCAAAATCAATAGCGTTTTGTACATCAGAATCACAAGTTACATCACAATGGATATAAGGGAGAGTTTCTTTTGAATTGAGTTCTTGACAAAGGGAGTAGCCAAGATTATCTTGAATATCTGCAATAATTACCTTCGCTCCATGTTTAACAAACAATCTTACAGTGCAATCATACAATCGAAATGCTTTGTTTTATTATGCCAACTTGTATTTACCTCTATAAATTATAATACAACAACTATATAATAAAAGCGAAAAGATCATGAAAAGATCATATGATCTTCAAAGCTTATAAGTGATTTTCATTTGGCCATGGAGTCAATTTTAGAGAAATTCTTACTTGAAATCTTCTTTCAAACTCCATGACACACCATTTAATTAAAGTTCATCGAAAAATTTTCACGAGCTCAATTCATAATTAACTAATATTCTTAATAAATTGAAAAAGAAAAAAAAAAAAAAAAAGGCAAAGCTCTTAACCAAATAAGAATCAATATTGGTGGGAATGTTGTATTTATGAACTTGGATTGCATGAATTACAACATCTTAGAAATTCAATGGAGAAAGTAATTAAAAAAGAATGTTACAAAAATGAGCAAACAAGATTCATTGGATTGCTTTTTGATGTAGAAAAATTAAATTACTGTGCCTACAAAATTAATAATTACCTTAATTTTTCTTCATCATTTATTAATTTCCCCTTTTAAGGCTTTATATTTAAGCAATGGATGAAATTTAAAGATGAGTAAAATTGTAATTATATTACAAATAGAAGAATTATAACTGAAGCACACCAAAATATTCCCAATAGTAAGTAGAAACATAGAAAGGTAATAACAAGTTTCATAAAATGGAAGCAAATTAAATTCACAAGTATCAACTATTGAAAGAAAGAGATTTTTTTTTTTAAAGGTTAAACAAAATGCAACGATAAATAAAATTAACAAAAATAAAGGAGATACAAAATTTTTATTTGACATTAGCTTACATCCACAAGTTAATGTGTTCCTAGAATCTGATTCAACAATTAAAGAGAATTGTTTAAATGTAGAAGAAGCAAAAACCTCAATAGCTTAAAAAAATGGCAAGAATCTCAGCTTCAGTAGAATCCAAATTCCAAATTATTTTCGTTTTATAGAAGATGCAGATGACTTCACCCAACCATCTATATTAAATTTGAAACTTCGGCAAGGTGCAACCCAACCGATCAAATCATGGTCAGGATCCCTATTCCCAGTTGGACCATGTTACGAATAAACGATATATTGCATCCATATGCTTCTTGCTCTCATGAATATTTGATTTTCGTCAATGACTTGTGATTGGGTTGGACCCAAGCTCAACACTAAGGTCCTCTGCAAATGGCGCGATTTACTTGATATTGTTTAATTAGACAACTGTCCTCAGGCAGAAAAATCTCCTGTGCTTAACCTACCGCCACCGCCATTGCCATGGAAACATTCTCCGAACTTCTAATTCTGGTACTATCAATATTTCTTTTTCTTTTTTTTTTAATTTTAATTTTAATTTTTAAGATTAAAACCAGAGTTAGCAATGTCTCTTACTTGAAGAACTATCGAAAATGTGTAAGATAATTTTGGAAATTCATTATATAATTTATATTTTACTGTAAATTTAATTATTTCACAAGTTCATATTTTTTTTGCTATAAGCTGATTAAAGGGTTCATTTTTCTTTTTAAATTTTGTTTTAGGTGCTTACAAAGGACGGAAATGGGTTCTTGAATTATATATTTGCCCAGATTGAAAGATGCAATCATGCAATCATGGAAAAGGGTTGAGCTTTGAGGGCTTGATTTGTTTTATATGTTTGTTTTTAGCACATATGTGAGACAAAGCAAGTTGCAAATACAAAGTCTTACAAACTATGAGTTATTAACAGTAACCTCTTTTTGTATTTTTTTTTTTTATGATAACAGAAGATTTGTTCTCAAACATTGTTACAGTAAAATGTTAGCTATGCTACAGGAATTATCGATGTGGAATGTAATGGTTACTGTCAACAATATTACTGTGGAGGTCAGTAACCTCTTTTTGTATTTTTTTTTTTTATGATAACAGAAGATTTGTTCTCAAACATTGTTACAGTAAAATGTTAGCTATGCTACAGGAATTATCGATGTGGAATGTAATGGTTACTGTCAACAATATTACTGTGGAGGTTCTATTTTGAAAGATACCAGTTCATTAAATATCTTATTCCTCATTCTTTTTCAGTTTTTACTCATGTTTATGTTCGTTATAGTTTAGAAAGATCAATTCTTCATGCAGCGTCTATGGCCTTGTTTGTTATAAATGAATTTCACTGTGGAATTCATTTGGAATTTATATTTTTATAATTGGTATAAATGAAAGTCTCGATTTTGCTTGTATAATTTTATGTAATTCAGTAGAACTAAACCAAATTCTATTATTTTTAACTGAATTATATATATACTTCAACATCATTTTTAACAAGGGGTAAAGCTTATTTACTGAGTAATGACAACTCCATATTATGTAGCTTAATGATCTACCGCGGAGAACGATTGGACATATAACAGGGTGAGGTCTAGCAAACTTTGACTGATAAAAGGGATATTGATCAGTAGCTGCAACTTGTTGGTGACTTGACCATCATTACCAATAACTCGTGCTTCTCTTCCAAACTAGATTTCAATACCTTATTCCAAAGCAAAGGAATGTAGACCAAAAATCTGCTTGTCCCAAAATGCATGTGAAATAGCCTATTCTAAGTTATTCTGTGATTTGTTTTTATTTCATCTGTCAGTTGCTTCTTTGTGATTGTTGTCCATACTACATTATCATGCTGATGCAACCATTTTTCATTTTTTTTTTTTTTCTTTTTTTTTTTGTCTCTTTTCTGCTTTGGCTTCCATGGTTTTTCAAAACCCTTGAAATTATTTTTAACCTTTCATTATTCAATTCTATTTGACTAAGATGAATGGTGTACTATTTGTGCTGTTCTTTGACTAGTTTTCAAAACCCTTGAAATTATTTTTAACCTTTCATTATTCAATTCTATTTGACTAAGATGAATGGTGTACTATTTGTGCTGTTCTTTGACTAGGGATATCATCTTCCTGCCTTTGCAGGTATAAAAGGCTCTTATGTTCTCTTATGAATGCAACACAGAGTTATTTCAATTTACTGAGACAAAAAGCAAAAATTGCAGGGAAGTTTTGAGCCATTTCCCTTTACCATTTTTTTCTGTTGTATCTTTTAATATGGATTATAAACTTGTATATGCTGGAACTGTTGCTTCACTTTTGGCAATTGTATGGTATAGCTTAAGAGGAAAGAAGAAGAGCATTTCCTCAGGAAAGAACTTCAAAAACGAAATAATAAAGAGCCTTGAAAAGGAAATGTGCCGTTCTGAAAAAGTTGCAACCACTGACATAATTATTGTTGGTGCTGGTGTTGCTGGTTCAGCTCTTGCTTACACTCTTGGCAAAGTACCAAGTTCTTTCTATTTTATTCTTTTTCTCCATGTTTTACAGCACAATGATTTCTACTAATAATTCTTTTGAGTTCGCTATGTAACCTTGGTTACCTACTTGCTTCAGGATGGAAGACAAGTTCGTGTAATTGAAAGAGACTTGACTGAGCCTGATAGAATTGTTGGTGAACTCTTACAGCCTGGGGGCTATCTGAAGCTGATCGAGCTGGGTCTTGAGGGTATGAGAAACCTAGCATCTATATAAAATAAAGTTTTAAGAACCAATCATTTTGCTTTCATTCAATTAATTATTGGCACAATAAGTGAAATCTTTATTTCACACCACTTGGCACTTCCTTATCTTTCTGACATGACAGAGTAAATTTGCGGATGCAGATTGTGTTGAAAAAATTGATGCTCAAAAAGTGTTCGGATATGCTATTTACAAGGATGGCAAAAGTACTAAGCTATCCTATCCTCTGCAAAGTTTTGAAACAAATATTGCTGGAAGAAGTTTTCACAATGGTCGTTTTATACAAAGAATGCGCCAGAAGGCTGCTACTCTTCCCAAGTAACCTTCTTTCACCTATGCTTTCTTGTCCAAGAAAATGATTTAGCAGTTAATATCCTCTTCCTTGATCTTTTCTATAGCGTAAAGTTGGAACAAGGAACGGTAACATCTCTTCTCGAAGAAAAGGGAACTGTTAAAGGAGTCCATTACAAGACCAAAACTGGTCAAGTATTGACAGCTAAGGCTCCCCTTACAATAGTATGTGATGGTTGTTTTTCAAATTTACGACGATCACTCTGCAACCCTAAGGTGAAGAATCTATGTGTTTAATTTGAACAAGCTAGTTTACAAAATTTGTTTCATCTTAATGCATGAAGTCAACTTTCAAACAGCATGCTTTCAGATGATATATTGCATCAATGCTAGATCTTAATCTCACTTTCCAATTGAGATTAATAAATGTTACATGTACTTCTGCAGGTTGATATCCCCTCTTGTTTTGTTGCTTTGGTCCTCGAGAACTGCAATCTTCCATTTGAAAATCATGGACATGTAGTTCTAGCTGACCCTTCACCCATTTTGTTCTATCGTATTAGTAGCACTGAGATTCGTTGTTTAGTTGACGTACCTGGCCAAAAAGTACCTTCAATTTCCAATGGTGAAATGGCCCAATATTTGAAAAAAATGGTGGCTCAACAGGTATTTAATTTTCAATCCACTAAATGTGATTGTTTTACCATTCATGTGCAGACTAGCATCAAAAAGCTGCATATACCTGCAGAGCAGTAAGATATGGAGAAAAACAGAGATAAAAACAGGGGAGAGAGGGTTTACAGAAAAATCTAATTTTTGTTCACATTCTTTAGCATGTAACAAGAATTTTAATCCCCAAATTCCATCTAACAATTGAAATACTAGGATTAAACTATTGTAAAGCTGTTTTCATGTTTTTACTCAAACTAGCACATTAATACTGATCAAAAAAACCATAACACATTAGTAGCATTGCTTTATGCATTAATCTTTTAACTTACTTGCATGTTTCAGATACCCTCTGAGTTGCGTGCAGCTTTCATTTCTGCAATTAAGAAGGGAAACATAAGAACAATGCCAAACAGAAGCATGCCTGCATCTCCTTATCCAACTCCAGGTGCATTATTGTTAGGGGATGCATTCAACATGCGCCATCCTTTAACTGGAGGAGGAATGACTGTGGCACTTTCCGATATAGTTCTATTACGCAACCTTCTTAGACCTTTACACAATCTTAATGATGCATTTGCCCTCTGCAAATACCTTGAATCCTTTTATACTCTCCGAAAGGTAAGCAAAGTTAATCAACATGAGTTATTATTTGCATATACCAAACACAGAGAAATAGTAATTGCTTTCCGTTTTGATGCAGCCAATGGCATCTACAATAAATACATTAGCTGGTGCCCTTTACAAGGTTTTCTCTATATCGACTGATTTAGCAAGAAATGAAATGCGCCAAGCGTGTTTCGACTATTTGAGTCTTGGAGGTGCTTTTTCAAATGGACCAATAGCTTTACTCTCCGGATTAAATCCTCGCCCGTTAAGTTTAGTGCTACATTTCTTTGCAGTGGCTGTCTATGGTGTTGGTCGGTTAATACTTCCATTTCCTTCACCTAAAAGCTTATGGACTAGTGCTAGACTGATAAGGGTATGGTGATCTATCTTTCACTTGCAACTTTTATATTGCTTTGCCATATTGTTATTGATTTCTCTCTTTCAAACTTAGTATATATGCAGTTGTTTCGAGTCACTTATAACAAGTGTTTCCTTCTCCAGGCTGCATCAGGTATCATTTTTCCCATAATGAAGACAGAAGGTGTTAGACAAATGTTCTTCCCTCTAACTGTGACATCATATTATAGAGCTCCTTCTACTTATTGACCACTTTTTGCAATTTCACTAGTATTTTTCATGCTGTTTTCCATCAGAAAATCTAATTTACAAGCTCAAGAAAAGGGTTTTCAGTATATTATACATTGTATAGAAATTTTCTAGGAATGCATTCTTTGATTGGAAACAAGTATAGGAACTGTGTTGTTGAATTATTCAATTCTTTTAAATGATAAGAACTGTTGAGTCATTGTTCTACTCTATTCTTTTGGCAGATGAAATATTTCTCCATTGTGTTAAATAGCAACATTGAGGCTATCAATTTCAGAGTGCTAAATTCTTCTTTGATATCTGGGTACTGTCAAATAATGAGAATTTAGAAATATGAAATGCAAACAACTATATATTGATAATTTATTAATTAATAATTTTTTTGATGACAACGTAATTACTGAAAACTCAAGACAGGAGTTAAATATATTAGGATAGTTCAATAATTAGATTGTAAGCTCTTCATTGCCAGTTCAAAGGATGGATTAGTAAGACTATAACCACCATCAATCACCAAATTCAACCCACTCACATACTTAGACTCATCACTTCCCAAAAAAACAACTGCCTCTGCTACATCTTCTGGTTCTAAAATAACCTCTTTCAAGTTACCCGACCCAGATACCAATTCTTGGATCTTCTCCTTCTCCATGTCCACTAACCCTGTACTTTTCCTAAACAATGGAGTTGCAACAGCAAATGGTGAAACACAATTAACCCTAATCCCGTATTTACCTAACTCTATACTGAGATTCTTAGCCAAACCAACTACAGCATGCTTCGACGCAATATAAGGATGCATACCCTGAAAACAAGTAACTGAAAGATTGCTTGCAGTGAAAATAATGCAACCTTTCTTTGCAGGAATCATAACTCTAGCAGCATGTTTTGCTACCAAGAAAGCACCGAACACATTAACATCGAAACACCTTTTGAAATCTTCATTCTTTATGTCTATAATAGAGTCCATGTTTCCTGCGATGCCAGCATTGCTAAACATAATATCAAGCTTTCCATACTTGGAAATAGCAAAATTGACAGCGTTTTGTACATCAGAATCACAAGTTACATCACAATGGATATAAGAAAGAGTTTCTTTTGAGTTGAGTTCTTGACAAAGAGAGTGACCAAGAGTATCTTGAATATCTCCAATAATTACCTTTGCTCCATGTTTAAGAAACAACCTTACAGTAGATTCGCCTATTCCGCTGGCGCCTCCAGTTATTATAGCAACCTTCCCTTCCAGCCTGCAAGATTGTGGAGTATTATTTGAGCTCATATTGATTAAATGCTAAAATTGTAAGCCCTAATATAAATTTGAACTTTGGTGATCAATAATCTATAATACTGCCCAGCTACTGAGCATAGGGAGCTCTTTTAGTCCACAACTTTTTCTTTAAATGGAATTGCAAATACATTACAGCTGGATGCAAAAGATTGACTAGTCAATATAGTTGATTGAACGGCTCAACTTGTTATCTTATCTTTCCAAATGAACAAATGGCTCAAAATGTTGCACTTGCCATTGCAGTAGTTAACATCATTGCCCTTGTGATTGTTATATGGACAGAAAATTCCATTAAGAGGCATCAAATGCCAGAATTACATTCATCTAAAGAAAATCCTGACCTAAAAACATAATATTTAGCAATAAATAAAAGTAGTCCGCATCAAGCCATTCCTAATATTCACCTCCACAAATTTGATCAGTCCAAGCATCAATGACACATTCATCCTCCATTTCTAGATCATTTGTTGTATGAGATTCGCGTAATCTTGAACCATCGAATGTGAACCGAACCGTACCAAAACCAAGACCTGTACGATTACAATAGTCAAGCATTAGACAGTGAAGTGGTCTGTTTAGACCAATCCTATAGCAAATATCACGTTCATTTTGTTTTTGTACCCTTAAAATTATGTGTTTTTCTTCTTTTTTTTTTTTTTCAGAAATTGACATGAGGGTTACAAGATTGCACTCTGCGGCTGAAAACTCCATTTTATTATTTCTTCAACTAACCAAATGTACAATTCTGTCACCTGTCATATATACATATATATATATATATATATATACCCACTCAATGATTCTCAGGAGAAAATATATTGAAATATACAGAGAAAAATACATATAAAATACAATGGCTATGTTGAGGGATTTCGAATAATTCATGGATTAGTTACAAATTCTTTATTTAGCACAACAAATTTCTCATGTTAAGGATTCATGGATGAGAAATTTAAACACCTAACAAGAGAAATCATAGAAATCCATATATCTAAAAACCTGCGTTCTTAGTTCCATGAATTTTGACAAATTACATCAGTTTCTATATTTGATTTTTGCACTATTCATTTTAAAATTTATGTTTTATTCTACTAACAAATTAAGTTTCTAATACCTTAAATAGCATATTAACATAAGTGTTGATGAGGATGTTAAGTGTGCTAGTTTCATACTAAAATGCAAGAGCCTGAATGTCCTAAAACATAATAGAATAATAGACAACACTGCCTCTCTTGTTTTTTTTTTCTCTATTTTTTCACATTTATTTTACTAAAAATTAAAGAAAGTATAAGTGGAAGCTTCCAACATAAAATGACATGAATTTCATTTTATTCAGTTTTATGACTGTATAATTGTATATACTGAGTTACTGAGTTTACTGAATTATAGGGGGTAATGGATTTTTTTTTTTTTAAATATGAAATTTATAGGTAAAAGATTAAGGGAGAACAAAAATAAAACTCAAACAAAATTGAATCTTTACTTAAACAAAAAATTTTCCTTTATTCAATCACCCAAAGATTTCTCAATGCAGATATCTCGGTTTAACTAGCAGAATCTTCATATATATTCATATTCAAGACACAAGAGAAAAGAAAGTCGAACTATACACATACCTCATGAGAGAAAACAAAACACAGCTTGAGCCGGTGAAAGAGGATCAGAAGAGCGCAGGCACAGGGTTTATCTAGGAAGCAACTACTGGGTTTATTCAGAAAAGGAAGAAGGAAGTGACTGCTCATGTCTCAGCAGTATATTTCAAAGTCCAAATGATTTTATTCTCTCTGATACTGATCGGTCACACCTCAATCCAGAGAATCCATAGTACATTTTTGCATGGTTGGGTCATTTATACGGCAGCATTTGATGGGTTTGGTAACTGAATAAATCGAAAATTTTCTAAATCAAAATAAAACCAAATTAATTTTATAAAAAATTATATCGAACCAAATCAATTTCAGTTCGATTAACACTCAAGGCATGCTTATCAAGGGTTAGTTTATTCACAAAAATTTAACCGAATTTACTGAATGTGCTGCATAAGCATACACATTGTAGGGTTAGTTTATTAAATTTCCATATGTTTTAAATTATATTTAATGTAAACAATATGTAATTTACTACTTTGTATTTATTTTATGTTCATTGTATTTTTGGTTCATTTTCTATTGTTTTAGGTGTTAAATGAGTTAACCGAGCAAAAAATTTGATTTGGAGTTTACTAATTTCAATAATGACCTCTCTCCACTTCTTCACAAATATTTTGAATTATAAAGAAATTTTGAAGTGATACAAATTAGGTTAGAAAATACCCAACAATTATCCATTCTGATTATAATAATTACTGAAATGGGTAATTAAATTGTGATCAAACCATTCTCTTATTCCAAATTAGATTTTGAAATTGAACATTTCAATTGTCTAAAGGAAAATAGAACAAAGTCCAATCATCCGCTTGCCCCAAATTGCGTGTCAATAGTGTAATTCATGCCTGTGAAAATATTCTTCGTTTTGTTTTGTATTCCATACATGCTATAGGCTTTTCTTTATGTTTGTTTCTGTTTGTCCCTTCTGCTTTGTTTTCCATGGTTCTGCAATAAGTCCTTGAAAATATTTTTAACTTTTTTTGTTGATTACACTTTCATTGTTTGATTTACTCAGCAGAATTGTAGATGGTCTTATTCAGTCATAGAAGCAGGATTGGTGACTTGTTCAGTCATAGTAAAAAAGGCTAGTTTTTTGAAGTTTATTGACTGCCAATATCATTCAACTATATCATATACGTACATGGAAGCTATAAAAGGCACTTCATGTTTTCATGGAAGTGCAAGGAAAAGAGTTCTTACTTGAAAAGCATTAGCAAAGAGAGATAGAAAAATCGGGAGAGAAGTTCTAGTTTCATCTCCTATTAGTTCATTGCATCCTATATTGATCTTTCTAAGATGGACTATTATAAGCTTGTAATGGGAGGAATTATAGCTTCTCTTTGGGCATCAGTTTTGTTTTACTTCTTAAGAGGAAAGAAAAACGGCACAACTAAAGCGAACAATTTCATGGATGAAACTTCGCAGAGGCCCAGAAGAGAAATATGCCACTCTGAGATAGCTATGACGCCTGACATTATCATTGTTGGGGCCGGTGTGGCTGGTTCAGCTCTTGCTTACGCTCTTGGACAAGTATGTAAACTTTTATTATCACTATGCATGCATTATTTCATGACATTATTGTAGCATTCACTGTGGCACTGTTTTGGACACTTATTTATTGCAGGATGGTCGCCAAGTTCATGTAATCGAGAGAGACTTGAATGAGCCTGACAGAATTGTCGGGGAACTCCTACAACCTGGTGGTTATTTGAAACTAATTGAATTGGGTCTTGAAGGTATATATCTCATTCATGAGTATTTAATTTCACTTGTTAAGAATTGACAATTTGTGTAGTGTAGAAATATCTTACATTTTCACACTCAATTAGTTGTTAATAAGTGAAAATTTTTGACTTGACACTCCCTCAAACAGTTATATATGTATATCTTCTGGAGATGAGAGTTTAAATGTTTGTGAATGTAGATTGTGTTGAAGAGATTGATGCTCAACAAGTGTTTGGATATGCTATTTACAAGGATGGAAAAAGTACTAAGCTATCCTATCCCCTGCAAAGTTTTGAATCAAATATAGCAGGAAGAAGTTTTCACAACGGTCGTTTCATACAAAGAATGCGCGGGAAGGCTGCAACTCTTCCCAAGTAACCTTACTTTAACCCCGTGAATATTCTACTTTTATTTACAAATAAGACTCTTACTGTCCACTTTCTTGATCTTTTGTACAGTGTAAGATTGGAGCAAGGAACAGTGACATCTCTTCTTGAAGAAAAGGGAACTGTTAAAGGGGTGATATACAAAACTAAAACTGGTCGAGACTTGACAGCACATGCTCCCCTTACAATAGTATGTGATGGTTGTTTTTCAAACTTGAGGCGCAAGCTTTGCGATCCCAAGGTAAAGTATTTGTTTGGTCAATTGACCGAGGAATCGCAGTACATTTGCTTGATTGAGCTTCATGAAACAAGTTTTCCTACAATTTGGTTTCAGTTAGTATGTTTTAGCACTTTTGGAGTTGAATCTCTCTTGCCAATTAAGATTAATAGAGGTTATAAACAATTTTGCAGGTTGATATCCCCTCTTGTTTCGTTGCTTTGGTTCTAGAGAACAGCACTCTTCCATATGAAAATCATGGACACGTGGTTCTTGCTGACCCTTCACCGATTTTGTTTTATCGTATCAGTGGCACTGAGATTCGTTGCTTAGTTGATGTACCTGGCCAAAAAGTACCCTCCATATCAAATGGCGAAATGGCACAATATTTGAAAAGTGTGGTTGCACATCAGGTACGGAATTACATTTATGTATTAATATCTTTTTGTTGCTAATGGAAAGTAATGTAACTCAACCTTCGAAAATTTGAGTGTTTTCCAGATTCCAACCGAGCTGTATCCATCATTCATATCTGCAATTGACAAAGGAAATATAAGAACAATGCCGAATAGAAGCATGCCAGCTTCTCCATCTCCAACTCCAGGTGCTCTTTTGTTGGGAGATGCATTCAACATGCGACATCCTTTGACTGGAGGAGGAATGACTGTTGCTCTTTCTGATATTGTTTTATTACGAAACCTTCTTAGACCTCTGCACAGTCTAAATGATGCATCTGCTCTGTGCAAATACCTCAAACCCTTTTATACTCTTCGAAAGGTGAATAGTATTTTAATTCTATATGTTTAATAGTTCAACACCGTTTTGCATCTAATTAGAGCCTGTTTGGCATTGTGACTGAAATTAGTTTTCTGGAAAAACACACTTTTAGATGCTGTTTGAAAAATGCAATATTGATAATTTGCATATTAATTATAAAAAAAAAAAAAAAAAAACTTTTTATAGCCATTTTCATATTCATCAACAAGGACTTTTGTTTGCATAATAACTTTAAATGCCACTACATCTTAGCTTTAGCATTGACTATGATGTACTGCTAAGCATACAGTGTACTTTTTTTGTCGATGGTGCAGCCAATGGCGTCTACTATAAATACATTGGCAGGTGCACTTTACAAAGTTTTCTCTGCATCAACTAATTGTGCAAGAAATGAAATGCGACAAGCTTGTTTTGACTATTTAAGCCTTGGAGGTATATTTTCAAATGGACCAATAGCTCTTCTCTCTGGCCTGAACCCTCGCCCTTTAAGCTTAGTCCTACATAAAAAAAAAAAACTTTTTATAGCCATTTTCATATTCATCAACAAGGACTTTTGTTTGCATAATAACTTTAAATGCCACTACATCTTAGCTTTAGCATTGACTATGATGTACTGCTAAGCATACAGTGTACTTTTTTTGTCGATGGTGCAGCCAATGGCGTCTACTATAAATACATTGGCAGGTGCACTTTACAAAGTTTTCTCTGCATCAACTAATTGTGCAAGAAATGAAATGCGACAAGCTTGTTTTGACTATTTAAGCCTTGGAGGTATATTTTCAAATGGACCAATAGCTCTTCTCTCTGGCCTGAACCCTCGCCCTTTAAGCTTAGTCCTACATTTCTTTGCTGTGGCTATCTACGGTGTTGGTCGCTTGCTGCTTCCATTTCCTTCACCCAAAAGCATCTGGACTAGTGCTAGATTGATAACGGTATGTCTCTGTCGGATGAAATAGTCACAAAATTTTGTTTTGTTTATTTGTATCTTCTGAATCTATTTCATCAGTATGATGATTTGACTTTTTGACTATCCTTATAATGCATGTTGATATGTTCCATTCTCCAGGCTGCATCAGGTATCATATTTCCAATAGTGAAGGCAGAAGGAGTTAGACAGATGTTCTTCCCTGTAACCATGGCATCATATTATAGAGCTCCTCCTAGCTATTGACAACCAATTAGCATAAAATTTTTGCAGTTTCAATAGTATAGTTTCTATCAATTGTTCTATTCTTTTTTGAAAATGTATGTAGATCAAATTTGCAAGTGGAAGAGAAGTTGTGCTGTATACATTAGTAAACTTCTAGGAATTCTTTGTCCAACCAAAAACAATTGTTTCCATGTAATGTTTAATTATTCAATTTCTCAAATGATACAAACACATTGATTGATTATAGTGTATTGTATAATCCACACTTTAGTGTGGAAATTGTATTTGACACTTAGAAAATTATGTAAAATAAATTCTCAGAGAAGTCTGAGAAAAAAAGGAAAACCTGACACAGCTTCCTTGATCTTCTGCATAATCTGAAATGTTATAATAGTTTCAACCAGAATGTATCGACGAAACTATTCAAATCAAGACAAATAAATAACTTCTGCCAATATTGAGGAATAAAATTCCATATCAACGAGATATTATTTTCTTCTACTCATCTGTGCTGTTTGTGTTAGACTTTTTTTTTTTTTTTTTTTTTGTGTTAGACTTTTTTTTTTTTTTTTTTTATTTTCTCAATTTTTTTTTTTTTTTTTTTTTCTCAATATAGTTCTATTATAAAATAGTATCTAATTAGGTTAACTTAAATTTTATTTCCATTTTAGGTTTGGTTTTGTTCCACAGTTAAAGATAAGACAAATGGAACAGAGTTTAGGTTGACACTTAGAAATGGAAATGTGAATAATGCTCAGAATGGAATTTTCTGATCCAAGGTTGCTATAATTACTGATAAGTTATTGTTGTTTTGGCTACCAATTCTGATTCTCTAGTACTTCTTTTTAGATGCAAAATTTTAAAAGCTTCATCAAAGTCCCTACTGTGCTAATCTTCTTTGAGTTTACAAGTGGTCAGATTTTTGTAGTTATTTATGTCATCCAATCACCAAACCCAAAAATTAAAAATTTAATGGTTTGTCTCCTTCATTTCTCTCGCCCAATTATGGTTTTGCAGTCAGTTAGAGAAGGGAGATTGAGAAAGACAGACACCACTTCCCGTAAATTCATGAATATGAGTGTAAGGTACACTCTGCAATTTCTTGAGAGGAAGAGGGTAGAAATTGACAGAAGCAAGACAAAGAAGTACTAAAGCAAACTATTAGATAATTTTTATGCAGTTTAGTAACACGACAATGTTTAATATGATAGTGTTATTTTATTTTATTTTTTATTTTTTTTTGATATATTGTTATAATTGTGGATTTGTTGCAGATAAAACATTATATTTATATTTTGTACTTTTTTGTTGAAGGAATGTGGAATGGGAGTGTGAAGTGCAGAACAGATTTTTTTGATTGTGCAAAGAAAATAAAAAACGAGTTTGAGGTTTAGAAGCAAGTACAATATCTGAAATAGGAAATTGGATTATATGCAAATGAGAAATATGAATAAGATTTTGGAAAGACCTTGAGTATTGAAAAGTTTAATCACAGGGTGTTGCTAATGTAGTTATACTGTATTTTGTTTTTATTCCGTGTGATTTGCTGTTTTCTTTTACTGATGACGCATTTGTTTTTGTTTGTCTAGTCTTCTTTGACTTCCATGGTTTTAAAATCCTTGAAAATATTTTTAACCTTTGCAGAATACACTTTTGTTATTCTGACTTATTCAGTCAAGGCCATAAGAAGTGTACTTCATCGTAGTTAATTGACTAGCAACATCTATGAGCAGATGATACAGGCTATAAAGGTGACTAACTTCTGTTAGATGTGCAAGAAGAGAAAGAGCTCTTACTTGAAAAGCAATTAGCAATCAATCTGGTAAGAGAAACGAAAGAGAAAGAAAGTTCTAAATTGTCTTAGAAGATGGATTATAAGCTTGTAATGGAGGAATTATAGCCTCCATTTGGGCATTGGTTTTGTTTTATAGATTAAGAGGAAAGTACAGTAGAGTTTCCATGAATTACTTTAAAGATGAAATGCTGAAGAGACGTAAAATATGCCTACCTGAGATGGCTGCAACACCAGAAGTAATAATTGTTGGTGCTGGTGTTGCTGGTTCAGCTGCTGCAACACCAGAAGTAATAATTTGTTTGGTTGCTGGTTGTTGCTGGTTCAGCTCTTGCTTATGCCTCCTTTGGCCAAGGTTAAATTTTTGTTGATTTTAGCATTGTATTACCAATCAATCAAACGAGTTTGAGATGAAACAAATCTCAATTGATCAAAGTTCAAGCAGTTCAAGTGCTATTTTTTTACTACACTGAAACATAATAGTTTGGATATTAACTGCAGGATGGACGCCGGGTGCATGTAATTGAGAGAGACTTGAATGAGCCTGATAGAATTGTTGGTGAACTCTTGCAGCCCGGCGGGTATCTTAAATTGATTGAGTTGGGTCTTGAAGGTATATGGAAAATTCAGTACATCGGATCTTCTGCAGTTCAGAAATTTATTAGAGTTTCAAATTTTACTCAATTAGTTAATGATACTGCAGATTGTGTAGAACAGATTGATGCTCAGCAAATTTTTGGATATGCTATTTTCAAGCTGCAGATTGTGTAGAACAGATTGATGCTCAGCAAATTTTTGGATATGCTATTTTCAAGAATGGAAAAAGTAGCAAGCTGTCATATCCTCTGAAGGCTTTTCATAATTCAAATGTGGCTGGAAGAGGCTTCCACAACGGACGTTTCATACAAAGAATGCGAGAGAAGGCTGCATCTCTTCCCAAGTAATCTTCCTTCTCATACATTTTTAGTTTTTCCTCGTTCTCCACTTCAAGGAAATGAACAGAAACTCACAAATATAGGCTCAGCCCATATGTTATTCACCGTTCTCTTTCTTTTTCCTTATATATGTAGTGTAAGATTGGAGCAAGGAACAGTAATATCACTTCTTGAGGAAAAGGGAACTGTTAAAGGGGTAAATTACAAAACTAGAAATGGTGAAGAATTGACTGCTCATGCTCCCCTCACAGTAGTTTGTGATGGCTGCTTTTCAAATTTGCGACGTTCTCTCTGCAGCGCAAAGGTATTTCTGCTGAGTAAACCTTGTGCTCTGTATGCCCCTTACAATTCATAATACTGAAGTTATAACTTACTGCAAATTCTACAGGTTGATATCCCTTCTTGTTTCGTTGCTATGGTACTAGAGAACTGTGAACTTCCTTATGCAAATCACGGACACGTTATTCTAGCGGACCCATCGCCCATCCTGTTTTATCCTATTAGCAGCAATGAGGTGCGCTGTTTAGTTGATATACCAGGCGAAAAAGTACCCCTCATTTCTAGTGGTGAACTGGCAAACTACATGAAAAGCATAGTCTCTCAACAGGTACTTGTAATCTTCTTGTCATTATTTCAAAGAATTTGGACCAGTTATAGAACAACCTCATTCCAAAACTAAAATATGCATGAAAGCAAACAAACTGCATTGAACACTTTCAGGTTCTTTATTTATATAAGCATTATGTACTTTAAACCATCGAGTATTTTTCCAATTAAGCATTAAATTAGTAGTTCTGCTTTCCATCAAATAAGATGACTACTTGCTATCTGCTCTGCAATTTCGTAATTCACAGATCTAATCATGTTTCAGATCCCTGCTGAGCTATATAATGCTTTCATATCTGCAATCGAGAAGGGGAACATCAGAACAATGCCAAACAGAAGCATGCCAGCTTCACCTTATCCAACTCCAGGTGCTCTTTTGTTGGGGGATGCATTTGATATGCGACATCCTTTAACAGGAGGAGGAATGACAGTTGCACTTTCTGATATCCTTTTATTGCGGAACCTCCTTAGACCTCTAGGCAGTCTAAATGATGCATCTGCCTTATGCAAATACCTCGAATCCTTTCATATTCTTCGAAAGGTAATAAGAAGCATATTGAATCTTTGCTGTAGTATTAATTAGGAATCGATAACTTAGCATATGATGCTTTCTTGTTCTTTGTGCAGCCAATGGCATCCACCATAAATACATTAGCAGGTGCCTTATACAAGGTTTTCTCTGCATCAACTGATAAAGCAAGAAATGAAATGCGACAAGCATGTTTTGACTATTTGAGTCTTGGAGGTGTATTTTCCAATGGACCCATAGCTCTACTTTCTGGACTAAATCCTCGCCCATTAAACCTAGTCCTGCATTTCTTTGCTGTGGCTGTCTATGGAGTTGGCCGCTTAATGCTTCCATTTCCTTCGCCTAAAAGTATTTGGACTGGAGCTAGATTGATTTCAGTATGTTTTTTTTCCTTCTTATCGCAAACAGGCTTATATAATTTTTTTTTTTTTTCTTGTTTGTTGAAGGTACAATGTGTTTTAGTTGATTTATATCTTTGAAACCCAGTTTGAAACCCAGTTTCTTTATAAGGATTCAAAACAAAAGTTCCATTTTTGCAGGCGGCAACAAGTATCATTTTTCCCATAATGAAGGCAGAAGGATTTGGACAGTTCCCTATAAGAGCATATATATGATACTTGACATAACTATGCTCTTCTCCATAAGCTATAGGCATTATAACGATGCCGGCATATACCAGAGCTCCTCAGTATAACTGAATTTTGAGAACTCAGTTTATTACTTTTGCAGGTTGAATAGGTTAGTTTATATCAATGTTGCATCATCTGTTGTAAATTATATTGATTTTTTAGGGATTTGTTGTTTTTCTATTCAGTCTAGGAATTTATTCTTTAGTCAAAATCAATTTTTCATGTGTAATCTAGAACAATTCAACTTACAAAAAATGATGCATTTTTGCATGGCATTGATATGTATCCAATTAATTTATCGACTTGTCTTCTTTTGTTTGGTTGCAAGAAAATTATTGGGTAAAGTAATTTTTCAGGATTTTATAAGAGAATAGCCTGCTTCTATGGTAGAAACATTTTCAGAGTTCTTGTTTTTTTTTTTTTTTTTTTTTTTATAAGAGAATACCTGCTTCTATCGGTTAGAAACATTTTCAGAGTTCTTGTTTTTTTTTTTTTTTTTTTTTTTTTTTTTTTTTTTTTTGGAGTTTCATTTCGATTGCTTGATGCAAGTTAACTAGAAAAGTGATAATTATTATATCATTTATAATTTATTTTCAGATTAATTTTTCTTGTTTTTTTAATGGTAAGTTTAAAATGTGACATTCATTATGTTTGATATAAATTTAAATTCAATTCAATATGATATGTTTGGTATAAATTTAAAATTCGATTCGATATGATGTGATAAAAAGGAGAAAATAGAATAAAATAATAGAAAAAATGACAGATAAAACGTAAAATGACACCATATACCACTTTTTAATCATTCAACATCTAAAATTTAACACCGCTGCTTAATCATTCAGCTCAATAAAATAATAGATTCATATCCAGCAAATAATTCCTGCTGTAGACTTTATATCTCGCTGTAGCATTTTGTGCAATCATCACATTTTTGCAAAAGCAGATCAGGGAAAAAACTTTCAAACAATCCATACAAGCACAGATCACAGAAGAAACTACCAACAAGTTTGCATTGCAGGCATAGTAGGAAAAATAAATACTAGGCAAAACCTTATAAATTGGTGTTTTAGCAATTCCTTATGCTCCAGAAGATCTTGTGAAAACTATAAAAACATTAAATATATTATTACATTCTTTACTGTTCAATGAATAGATACACTAACCTCTCATAAACCAAAACTTGAATTAGTGCAGGAAGTAATGAACTCAATATCATGTCGATTGATGTGACAGCGTGGGGAACCAAAACAACTCCTCTGCATATATGAACATGCAAAGAGAAACTATTGAGTTTTAAAAGATAGATCTTTCAGCTGTTGTGGATCTACCTCTGATGGTGCCCGAGTGAGTGCACATTGTGCAGTTGTTGTCTTTGGGAAAGCTATGACATCCCTGATGGAATTAGCATCAGCCAACAACATAACCAGTCTATCCAACCCATATGCAATTCCACCTATGAAGAGGAATCACAGACATCAAACCAGTGAAATTCATCTTTCTTCTGTCCTTTTTTGTCAATTATAAGTACATGTAGAATCAATTGCTTAGAATCTTCGCCCCCCCCCCCCGATAATCCTTCGCCGCCCCCCCCCCCCCCCCCAACCCAAAAAAATGAAATAATAAATACAAGCTGTTTTAGAACCTGAGCTCCATTTCACCTTTCTAGTGAAGTTAAATTATAACATTTTGATCATTGATCAATTTATCCCACTTTTTGTGTTAAAAAATAAAATTAAAATATTAAATTAACCCAAAAAAATAAATAAATAAATAACAGCTGTGTTTAGAACCTGAGCTCCAGTTTCACCTTTCTGTGAGTAACCCAAAAAAATAAATAAATAAATAACAGCTGTGTTTAGAACCTGAGCTCCAGTTTCACCTTTCTGTGAGTTAAATTATAAATTATGAGTTCATGATCAATTTATCCCACTTTTGGTAAAAAATAAAATAAAATATTAAATTTTCTTATTTTAATATGCTTTTAATTTAAATAATAAAAAAGATCTAAAATTTAAAAAATCAAAAATAAAAAGAGTAATCAAAATCTCAGAGAAGTTGGACAAGAAAAACTTGAACAAAAATGAACTACTTACAATTTTGATATCTTCTAGTTTCTATTTTTTATTATTTCAAAACAGAAAACTCAGTTTTTTTTTGGGATAAAAATGGGGTAAATTGCTCGTAAACTCAAAGTTTATGTCTTAAATTGATCTGAAGTTAATTTAGGATCAAATAGAACATGTAGTTTTTGGGTCAAATTGAACATTTATACAATTACAAATAACAAGCATCGAAATTCAAAATCAACAGAAATTAAGAATCCCTGACTCCAAAATGGGAATGATGTGAGCAAAATAGGCTAAGCCAAGTTGGTTGACTGATCCATTCTGAAAACAGAAATTCACTAGCAGAGAAGGTGAAAAGTTCCATACCATGTGGAGGAGCACCCATGTCTAAAGCCTCCAGGAGATATCCAAACTTTGCTTCAGCCTGCAAATAAAAAATAAGAAGCTCAAGATTACTGGCAATATGTAAAGTAATCACTAACCAGATTGTTGATGAATCAATGTTTCAAGCTTTTCTCACAATCACAGAATGCTTCAAGTTTGAGGTTGGGAGTAAACGTTAAAGAGAAGGTTATCAGTGGTAGATTTGGCCTACTTGCTTGTACTTAAGTTGCTAATATATGATGAGAACACAAATTGATCTTTCAGTAGAATATTTTCTAGTGTTTCAAAATTCATCTTCATTGTGACATCTTTTATGCTGGCTACAAAAACTGTTTCAAAATTCCTCTTCATTCTTAACAGTTTTTGGGTTGCCCCATAAACCTCCTTCCTAATCAACATATGCGAAAAGACGACACGTAGCGATAAAAATTAGTGCAACCTCTTGCAAATAATTATATCATGTGGAATATGCACACTGTGATCTTCAGAAAAACTAATTATAAATGGTAGTGAGGTCTTCTTACCTGTTCAGCAGAGATGCCAACAATTTCCAAAACCTTTTCTTGAACTTCGCGCTTATAAATTCTCAAACTTCCTCCACCAATCTTGACAGCACGACAGAAACCAAGAAAAGAAAAATTAGAAGACATATTTAGCATAAGACCCAAGCCTTCAGCAATAGAAAGGTAGGTAAACTACCTCAACCCCATTGTAGACCATGTCATAAGCAAGGGCACGAGCAGAGGAAAGGTCCTCCATGTCTTCAGGGTTGGGCGCCGTAAATGGGTGATGCAAGGCCTGCAAACATAAGTGCCCATAAGGAGCATTTCAACTGACAAACAGAAAAAGATAGGTGTGCAATGACTAAAGACAACTAGCTGCTGCTTGAGATTAAGCATGCTTACAACTATGACGGTGACAAAACAGAAGTTTAATATCTTTCAATATATATTTTGAAACTTCCTTGACATAACTCAAGGCTAACCATACAAAGAAACTGTCATGAAATGATAGTACTTGTCATTTACTCGTGTTATCAGGGAGAAAGCTCAGGAATTAATTCCAAAGTTTCGAGGTGGGAATAGATCATTTGGTAAAGCAGCAACCTTTTTACTGAACTAATAATGATATGGGGAAGAGTATAAAAGATGCAATATGAAAATCAAAATGAAATAAATCATGCCCAATTCATGTTATTACAGACCTCAAGCCTCTGTTCCGTATCATTCCACTCAAACATTGGGAAATCAGTCACCCATAGAATTGAATGTCTGGACTAAAATATCAGACAGAAAAAAGAAAAATGTCAGAGAATGACAGAACAAGGATTATAAAATTCTTACAGTCGAGATAGTTCAAGAACATACATGGTCAATCAAGTCCATCTCATTGGCTACAAACACTCTAAGTCGGTCCAAAGTCTTATTAACTGATGCATGCTGACCAACTGCAAACAATATAAGATCCCCTGGCCCAGCAGAGCATCGTTTCAGCAATTGTTCTTTGTTTGATGGATCCAAACTTGACACTAATGCAGGGATTCCTTCAATCTCCCCTATAATAATTTACAATGTCAATGTAGTTAACTATGGAAAGCATGATATTGTCACTTTCTAGGATGAAAATAAAACTAAAAAATAAAGAAATGACAAAAAGAAAAAAAAAAATTTGTATCTTCTTACCATCATCCAAGACCTTGAGAAAAGGCAATCCCTTTGCTCCAGATTTGATTGCTTCATTGTAAATATCACCCTTCTTAAGAGCTGTATTTGAATAAGTTTTAGCACCTGAAGGCACACATAGTACTTTGAGAATTCCTCCATTTTTCAAGCTATCAGCAAACACTCTGAAGGGGGACTCAACAAAAATATCAGACACCTGCAGCATCAATGAAAGGCCTTCATTGACAACTATTTTAAGACAATCTAGCCTAAGAATACGAATTTTGCATGAGAAAAGAGATCCTAAAAGCATTATGCTGGTTCCAAGAACAAGAAATTCAACATTAAATGGCAGGATTCTCAAAGCCTATGGAGATCTAAAGATGATACAACCTAAAATTGGAAAATATATCACCTATTCAACTACAGCATAAGATTATATAAGGTTGTTGATCAAATTAATTCCCATTTTTAAAATCACTACCCACGCATGAAAAATAATAAATCCCTTGAAGGACCAAAGGTTTCATCATTCAAAGTAAGGAGAAGACTCAATCAGGTATCAATAAGGGAACAGCCAGAACTCAGACTGGACCTATGTGCAAGGGAAAGATTTTTTTTTTTTTGGGGGGGGGGGAAGGGTGAGAGAGAGCATGCTCATGAGAATACTTCCCCCAGTAACGAACAGCTTGGTAAAGGAATTCTCTAGAACTTTTACCAATTTTTCTTTCTTCACTACATAACGTAATTTAATAATAGCAGTTGAATGGCCTTGCGTAGATCAAATCTTTAGTATATATTATGTAAGGCAATCATGGTCCCAAAAAATAGTAATAAATATTGTGGTGCAAATTTGTTTTAACATGCAATGATATTTTGCATATAATTCTAAAGGAGATAATTACATCTTTCAACTCAAGATCAAATCTTGTATCTGGCCTGTCTGAACCGTAGCGACTCATTGCTTCAGCATAAGTAAGCCTTGGAAATGGGTTTGGCAGCTCAACACCTTTAATCTCCAAAAAAACCTGCAGAAAATGCAAACATTCAAATCATAAATTGTAATGCACAGACATTAAGCAAACTTTGAGCATTGGCAATTTCAGCAAACCCAAAAAAATGAGGACAAAAAAAAACAGTTTAGCCACATGTTGAGTGGCTCATTCATTAGGATCCACAAAAAGCACCAAGTTGCATGGACTACTAGATGAGACATTTCAAGGTCATCAATCAGCTGACCTGGCTTAAGCCATTGATTAAGCCAAGCTAAGACTTGCCCAGCTTGATTAAAACTCTTCCATTTACCAAACCAAGAGAAAATAAAAGACACTTTAGCCTCAATATCTCATAAAATAACAAGAAACCATCTTAAGAACTGTGTACAGCTAGTTAGGGCAAAAATTACTCATCTATTAATTTCCCTTCTTCAACCTATTGACTTCTAGCAATACCCTGCTATGAAAAATTGTGAACCACACAGAAAACATCTTTACCTTTCGAATCAAATCTTCATTGAGCCTCAGCATGTCCTCCAAGGGAGTGAAAGCCAGTTCCATATCTAGTTGAGTGAACTCGGGTTGTCTATCAGCCCTCAGATCCTCATCTCTAAAGCATCTGCAAAGAAGAAAAGCAAATCCCAAATTTTACTACTATTATAATTGAAAAGCAAAATTGCAAAAACCCCCACCTCTCAAGGGAAAAAGCAACTATTCAGAACCTAATAAATAAATAATATGTATTTTCTGCATGGCTGACAGTAAAAATATGTCATGAAACTCAAGATTAGGAACAGCTTGCTTGTTGTCTTTGTTGCATATATAACATGTCCTTTTTTATTGATGAAGATCAACATTGGTCACTCATTTGATTAGATGAAGCAATCATTCATTATTAGCCAACTACTTGTAGCTGCCCCTTTTCTTTGTCAAACAATATGCCACATTCAAGAGCTTATTAGCACAACTAAGAGCATACTTGCACAGCAAAATAATCACAATACAGACAAGCAGAAGAATTTACCTTGCAATTTGATAATATTTGTCAAAACCAGAGACCATTAACATTTGCTTAAAGAGTTGGGGACTTTGGGGCAAAGCATAGAATGTTCCTGGCTTCAAAATACACATCAAAGTGAATCATAGTAGAAAGCCATGGACAAAGTACTACAAGTAATTATACTACCAGAACCTATCATTGAATATATATTTATGAATAATAATGTAATTATCTACCAAAAACTGCCAAAACTCAAAATTTAAATAGCAAGGGGAAAATGAAGGCAGATGCATCTCCTTCACCGACACATAATCTCCATCCCCACATGATTCCCAGACCCCATTTGGAAATATACTCAGACTCAGAAGCAGTCATACACCTTCATCTGTAAATTACTTCTATCATAGGAGAAATGACATCAGGGTGTCATCAAAAGTAAAGGTACAACATTGATTTTTTTATGTGGACTAATTTTACACAGAAGAGGCTAAAGAAATCTAACACTTCCAGAGTAAGCCTCCAGCAGTTAAAATATAAATGATTACATAACACTAGTCATAAGTTCTATCATGTAAAATTTAATGGTTGCTCAATAAATGGCAAGTACCTGAACTCTTGAGGGCACCAAATAATCTCGAGCCCCTTCTGGGGTAGATCTAGAAAGTATAGGAGTCTCAATCTACCTTATAACATGAAAAGATCACGATCAAAAAAAGAGTAAATATAAACAAGGAAAAGAAACAAAAAAAAAATGAGAAGAAAATAATTACACGAAAAATATGCTATACTTCGCAGGTTTACCTCCACAAAACCATAAACATCCTCTAGATATCTTCGAATGAGTTTAACTACTCTGTGCCGCAACATTAAGTTAAAATTCATTTGTTGCCGCCGTAAATCAAGACATCGGAATCTAGTAACATATGAGGTACTTTTAGTTCCATGAAATCCAAGTATAAATAAATATGTAATAACATAAAATATAAAACTGAGATATTTTATAAGAAAGAAAAGAAATTTGTGATCCTTGGTACACACAGATTTGAATTTCAGAAGGATAAACAATATAATTTCTTGTTTCTAGAACATAAATTCAAACTATAGAATCAACATTCCTAAAGATTAAAGGAGATGCTATAAGAGAGCGTTAATAAATTTAGGGGGAAAACTATTTACCATAAGACACAAATGAGTTCAAAAAGTAGTCTTCCAATTAAAGATTGGGGAAAAAAATTTTAGAATATTATCATCTACACCCGAGATTTACTGCATAATAGTGACTAAATCATGAAAGATATTCCAAATTAGATTGACAATCAATCATTTTATTATTTTTAATATAATCTCTATATATATAAATGAAATAATTGTAGACAATTCCCGTGCAAAATTCATGAAAATTTAAAATGTCCAATGTTTTTGGGCTGAACATTTTAAAACCGAATAAAACAATCAAAACCAAATAAATTGATCAAATTGAACTACATTATATTGTTAATTCTGTCCGTTAATTCAATCTTAGAACAATCATTACCCTCATAAACTAAAACAACTTTAGAATAAGGATAATCTGAAGTAAGCAACCTCAAACGAATTTCCTCTTTGACAGAATCTTTAGCATCATCAGCAGTGGTGACTAAAAATGGCAACTTTGATCTCACTGCATTCAATACTTGAACATTCTCTGCAGCAAGCTGGAATACATATGATGATGTCATAAATTTGACTAAACAATACCTCCATCTATGTTGTACAGCAATATAGAATCATAGAATTAGTAAACTTTTTCTATTAAGCTGGATAAAAAAATTCCCTATTTTTCTCTCATAAGCTAGATAAAATAAAATAAATAAATAAATAAAAAATAAGCATTACCTCTATTAAGCCAGTTTTCATTTTCTTATTGACAGACTCACTAGGCCGAGACCGAATAACCCCTTCAATAGCTACCACATACTCCAGCCTCAAATCGTTTATGGTAGAATGAGCATCGGGAAATTCATCAGGAAGAGTGGTAACCTAAAATCACACCTTCACACCATCAGAACGACACTCAAAAAAAAAGAAAGAAAGAAAAAGTAGCCTACAAATCAAATATATAAAACCACAACACTCATACGCTAATCGAATGTGTATATATACATATACCTGGACAATGCCAGTGTGGTCTCTAAGATTCAGAAAAGTGAGCCCGCCATGGACTCTATGGAGCGCGACCCACCCACAAAGGCGGACTCGTTTACCCACATCGTTTACGGATAATTTGCCACAAAAACCAGTACGTGAAACCCAATCGAGACTTTCTTTGAAGGATACTGGTTGTGGTTTGAGAAGGGCTTCAGTGGAAGGAGAAGGAGAAGAAGTAGAAGCAGAAACAGAGAAAAACCTTTGTGTGCTTTTGGAGATTGTTTTTGGAAAGTGGTGTTTAAAAATGGTGTGGAGAAGAGGAAGGGATGGTTTGGAGAGGAAAGTAATAAGAGGGAGTGATTTGAGAAGAAGAGACATTGTGGTGTTAGAGGAAGGAAGACCAGGGGGGAGAGCTCTGGGGTTGGGGATAGAGAAGGGTTTAAGATTGCGTTTGAATAACGGGGCTGGGCTGGATACGAGATGCTCCGTGTTATGCACGTGATATTAGAAACTTCATAATTATAAGCATTGTAAGTGTTTTACAACAATTTCAGTAATTTCCTTTCAAAACAATAATTACAACATTTTTAAGTTGTGAGTTGTTTCTCTCTATTTTATCTAACCGTAGCTTTTATTTAGAGGTATCCTTATTAATTAACGGTAACTCTCTATTTTTTTTCTTCTTGCTTCTAATATTTTATTCGTTTTTAATAAATTTAGATCTATTTTTTTTTAATAGATTTATTTTTTCTTTAATTTTTTTGTTATTGTTACTTTGTATCCATATTTGGAATTCTTTTGTCCTTTCTTCCGTGAAGGTTTAGTTCCTTCTTTGTAAATGTTTGCTTTTAAAATGTATGATATTTGATTTTATTTAGTTGAAGAATTTAGATCTTATTCTACTGATGTGTACCTTCAACCAATAAAATCTGGTAGTGCAGTCTGTTCCTCCATTGATGTTATTAGCATAATGGCTTAAACTTATCTGTATACGTCATACGCAACAAGTTTTTGGAAAAACAATCCAAACATAGAAGATTCAGAAAAGTTAAAAGATCAGTTTATATCGGTCAAGGTTATCTTCAAGCGAAAACATCCAATATTGTTTCTTTTAATTTTAGTTTTATTATTCAAAAGAACTTAGATAATTATTTTGTTGTTAAAGGATCAGCGAACTTTCTATTAATTATGAGTTGTTAACGGTCAGCGACTTTTCTATTAATTTAATGATAGTAGTTTCTATGTATGTCTGATTGAGTAATTTATAAATCCAATATTGTTTCTTTTAATTTTAGTTTTATTATTCAAAAGAACTTAGATAATTATTTTGTTGTTAAAGGATCAGCGAACTTTCTATTAATTATGATAGTAAGTTCTATGTATGTCTGATTGAGTATTTATAATACTTGATTTTATTATTAATGATTTATATTTCTAAAAAAAAAAAAAAGATTGTGAGTTATTAAAAAAAATTATTATTTTTTATTATTTATAAAATTAAAATAAAGTATTTTGAGGATTTGATGTTAAGAAATAAAAATATTTTAAAATTTGATGTTTATAACAAAAATTATTATTAGCATTAGTTATTAGTTGTATGAAACAATCGAATCAAAATAAATTCTATGTTGTTATGTAGATTTTTTTTAGCAAAACCTTAATTTTTAAATTACTAATTGTCTTCGTCGTCTTCTTCCACTTCAAGCATTCACGGTGAATCGCTCAATGCCCAAATCCGCACATTCCTTGAAGTTAGAATTGAGATTGAATTAATTTTTTTTCTATCCCAAGTTTAATATAATTGAATTTTAAAATATTCTCACAAATTTTTAATTGAAATCTTATATATATATATATATATGAAAGCTGAAACAAAGAAAAAGTTTAATAGTTCTCTAATTTCAGCTTTCTATTTTTCTTTTTTTAGAAATTTTAATATTTTATTTTATTCTTCTGTCGTTTCATTAGATATTTAATATATTTTTAAAATTTAATAGCTATTGTATTATTATGAATTTTAAAATTTTAAATTATTTTTATGTTATTTAACTATTATCTTTAAGATAATTAAATTTAGGAAGTAGGAGGTACGTTTCTTTTCATTAATATAGCAAGTAAGTTTAATTTTTCAAATAAATAATTATTTTCTATCAATTTTTAATATTTTCATAATTATACACTAATGATATGCTAATTTATCGTTAAAAAATCTAACTGGGCTCGCGCGCTGGTTTAATATATTAGAAGTTCATTATCAATTCTACAAATTTAGTTTTTATGAATTGAATATAATTAAATCACTTTTTATTAGAATTTTAAATAAATTCTTCAAAACTTACCTAGAATTAATTTTTTGAACCAAAATACTTACCATACTTTTTCTCCTTTCTCTGTATATCTCTCAATTATTCTTTTTTTTTTTTTTCCTATCTCTTTTTCTCTTTGTTTCTATTACAATTTTTTTAGTTTAACTATTTGTGATAGTTGCTCCATGGTTTTTTTTTTTTAAGCAAAAGAAAATACATTAGAAATTATATAATGAAGGGAATATTAAAATATATCACGGATTGCTTTATTTTATTTGCCATGTCTGAAAAATTGAAAGTTCAAAATAAAAACATTCTCCGGTGTTATTATCTATTTAGTTTGTGAGTCTAATATATAAAAAAAAAAAGAGACAATGTCTATTACACTCTCTATTTTTAGAGGGTCTGTCAGACAGCGTCGCGTCAGTCAGCTTTTTGTTCTTTTTTTTCCTATTTATTCATTCTTTTATTTAACTCATTATTTTGCTGAAACTGATTTTGTCTTCGTGGATCGGACCATTTTTAAAATTTAACATTTACAAATACACATTCAGCCACATTACTATCCACAATTTTTATTTATTAAGACACATTAACCACGATTCATAATTGCATTGGAGATATTGTTCGTCTGCTAAACCTCCTCCATCTTAAAGCATTTAGCAAATTTTTAAGAATAGTTGCTGCAAAATGTAAAATGAGTATTAAGATACAATTATATTTATATAATATATAAAATCAGTTTCCAAACCATTTTCTAATAAATTTCATCCATTTTTTAACGTATATTTTTGAGATCAAGTTGTTCCTGCCTTCCCTGGGGTTTTCGCTAACTGAGAAAAAACTTATTCTTCTACATTCTTTTCTTATGTTTTTTTCAAATTAACCAATTTTGTAAATTGATTCGTTAATTTATTTAGGTTAAATTTTAATCGAATTTACATTAATTAAATATCTTTTTGATTTAACGAAATTTAACCAATTTAAACTAGCTGAATTAATTTTTGTATTAACCATGGTGAATCAAATCGGTCGATTTAACCAAATTGACAGATTTAACTAAATTAGCCAAATTATTTTCAACCATCTACACCTAATATCTATTTTTTAAATATAGTTAAGTTAAGTTTTAAACGAATCATAGTCAATCACTGAATTTAATTTTATCTTTCAAACCGAAAATTGATATTTGAATGATTGAATCAAATTAACCAATTTAACTAAATTAACCGAAATGTATGTACAACTTTATTTGTTTCTGTAAATAAGTTAACAATATAGTAATGTAATTTTGTTGAAATGTGTGGGAAATCCCACATTGAATAAATATAAACTAACTAAATATCATGTGATAAGAAGGGTCAACCAAACCATTTTATATTAAAGGTAAAGATTTAAGTAATTTGCTCCGAGATCCAAATTATGAACAAGTTTGAGATGATGGAAGTGTTATAAATACTTGAGAAGCAAAAAAAAAATGAAAAAAATAATATTGCCAATGGGTGTTTGGCCCTATAATTAATAAATAATTCTAGTACTTTCAAAAATTAATAAATAATTTAGAGGAAGCATTATTGCAAATTTCTTTTCCCTGTTTGCTGTTTGTTTTTATAAATATCGTTTTCAACTTGAATATCACATTTTTTTAATGTTTAATGTTGAAAAATTTCAAAATATTGAACAAGGTAAAAGTAATTTCAAAGCAAACTAATAGTAATTTCAAAGCAAAGCAAATTCCTTTTGATCTGGTGATTAAAAGTGTACTAAATTTCACCATAGTGATCGAGATCAAAAGCAGTATTTTAGAGGGTGCGTCTAAAAAAAATTTGTCTCCAATTTAACAGCCGATTTAAAAAATTTTCAAAATATAATTAATGAAATCAATTGTCTGAGCTGCCATTTATGGATTAAATTTTTTCTAGCTACCAAATTTAAATAAAGTATTAGTTACCAAATCCCCTCTATAACTATTCCATTTTCAAGTACTTTAGAAAATGATCTAAACCTATATTTATTCAAAGCATAAATAAAAAATAATTCCTCTCCAATTATCCTGAATCCTTAATAAAAGATCAATAATAATAATAATAATTAATAAATAAATAAATAAAAGCAAATCTCTTTCGTCAACGGCTATATTATCACTCTCTCCAAATCCAACGGCTCATACGCTTTTTCACTCTTCAAATCCCCTTCCCTTCAACGGTCAAAAACCCACTACAAAATTCACCAACTCATTCCCAAAACTAGCCGTTACTTTCTCAAATTCTCTCTAAACAAACAGCCTCCACCTTCCTTTCTCTCTCTTAAATCAAATCCTCTGGATACTGAGCATTCACTGCCTTACCGTTCAAAGACTCAAATTTTTAAAATTTTTTCTCTGCTTCTATTCCAAGAAGAAAGTCACGATAACTGAGCACACTGAAATTCTCCGTCTATGGCTGCACCTTCAAGTAAGACGTCTAGCTCTCTAATACCGAGCAGGCCAACTAACCCTAGAAGTTCAGAGGTTAACAACACAATGAGAAGGAGTTTTAGCGGAAACCCATTTGCTAAACCTTCGGTTATTGCAAATCAAAGGCCTGGCTTTAACCCCAACACTCCTGCTAACAGTCCTTCAGGTAATTTCCATCTTTGTTTCGTTTTGCCTGTTTGATTGATGAGAAAAAATGGAAGAAAATGACAGAAAGAGGAGAAAAACGTAACCGTTTTTGTTATCTAGGCTTTGTAGCATGTGGGTATGGCTAATTGAATTAGGATTTAGTTTGATTCTTTCTGTTGTTTTGGTGGACAAAGTAGGTCTAGGATGAATTCATGCGTTTTGCAGGTTGTGGAATCAGATGTTCAAATTGGTACATTTGATTATCAAGAAAATGGGGGAAAGTACGGGAAAGGATGGAAAATTACGTATTAATATTTGTTTTCTTTTTTGAGTTTTAAAGAAATATTAATATGTAGTTTCTTATGATTTGGTTGCTAATTCAACCTGTGAAACATTAATCTTTTCTTGGATAGATTTTTTTTAAAGCTTAGTTTGTTGGTTCAATTTCCTGGATAAGAAATGTATCCTAATGTGTGTTTAACAGTTGTCCTTGTAGAATTAGGTTCTCTTCTTTGTAACTGCTGTTTATCTTTTATTGTTTTAGCAAAAATTTATCAAGACATACTTTTTTTTATTTGATAATAAGACATACTTTCTTTTGAAACAAACAATCCCTCAAAATTATATCATGACGCTTTTGGCATTCAAATTCCCATTTACAGAATATAAAATTCGGCATCGACTTTCCTTCTTTCTATCTTCCTCATTTTTCTTAGCGACCAAACATTTTAGACTAATTTAGGATTTTCTTTTGATTGGCAGGTTATCCACGAAGAAACTCTATTGGCAGAGAAAACATATTAGTTTCACTGCGTGATTCTGAGGACAAAGAAAACAGTAAAGATCAGAACTTGAAACAAGATAGAGTTAGATCACCAGTTTCTTCAAAGGGTACGAAGAACTTCATGTCTCCCACGATCTCTGCAACTTCAAAAATTAGTGCATCCCCAAGAAAGAAAATCCTGACGGACAGGAACGAGTCAATTCGCAATTCTGTTTCATTTTCAGATGGAAAGAGCCCTTTGAAGGAAGATTTGGATTTGAAGCCTCAAAAGGGTTTGAATCAGAAGAAGGAGGTCTCCTTTGATCCAGTCATAACTTATGTGGAGGACAATGAAGCATGGAAAAGTAATGAAGGTTCTGATTCTGTTGAAAGTTCCAGTACTAATGAAGAATGGGATTTGTCATCAGAAAGTGTTACAGTGGCAAATGATTGTGTTAATCTTGATCCAAGTTTTAATATTAGTCCACGAGCTTCCTTTTCTTTGCCAAGTCCTGGTTTGGCACCTCTTGATGCCGATCCTTCAATGCCTCCTTATGATCCCAAGACTAATTACCTTTCCCCAAGGCCTCAATTTCTACATTATAAGCCTAACCCAAGAATTGAACTGTACCTTAGAAAGGGAAGAGATGGAAAGCAGCTTGAAGATAGTTTTGCCTCTGAAAGTTCTTCAGATACTGAAATTACTGAAGAACAAACCTTGTCTGATGATTCGCAGAAAGAATCTGAAGATTCTTCTTCAAGCGATGTGGTGGAACAAGAGGTAGAAGGAAAAGAGGAGGAGGGGGAGGAGGAGGAGGAGGGGACGCTGGTTGTGTCTGAACCAAGAATGGTGGCTAAATCAAATTTCTTTACAAGAACAAAGTTTGCTGCTTTGCTTTTAATCTTGGCTAGTGCTTGTCTATGGTCTTCAGTTTCTAATTCACCAATAATGGATCCTTCTGTGATTAATAATTTAAGCTTCTCTAATCTTTATGTCCCACCTGAAATATCACAGTACTTGAGAGAAAATTTGGAAGGTCTAACTCAGAGGTTTGGGCAATGGGTATATGAATCTCTCTCTTACATTTGTAATGTGCTCATCAGCTTAAAAGAACGGGATAAGCCAATTTCCTTGCAGTTTGCCAATTTGACCACTTTGTTAGAGGATAGCTTGGTTGATAATTGGCTTATGGTTGATAAAAGTACTTTTGGTGCAAAAGTTGAATATGAAAATAATGAATTAGGGCCAAGAACAGAGGGAGAGGGTGATATTGAATCATTGGAGCTGGAGGAGGATCAACCAATTGAAGCTGATGAGAACGTTGAAGAAGTTATAGAAGGTGGAGATGGCAGTGACAAAGAACATGAAGATCAAGAAACGATTGCGGCAAAAGGCTACTTTGTTGATGCCTCAGTAAATCACATTGTTCTGAAATCTGAAGAGTTAAGCGTTGTTCCGCAGGCTGGGGTGACTGAACCAGTGGACCATATTGTTCCAGAATCTGAAGAGTTAAATGTTGCTCCGCAGGCTGGGGTGACTGAACCAGTGGACCATATTGTTCCAGAATCTGATCCGCAGGCTGGGGTGACTGAACCAGTGGACCATATTGTTCCAGAATCTGAAGAGTTAAATGTTGCTCCGCAGGCTGGGGTGACTGAACCAGTGGACCATATTGTTCCAGAATCTGAAGAGTTAAATGTTGCTCCGCAGGCTGGGGTGACTGAACCAGTGGACCATATTGTTCCAGAATCTGAAGAGTTAAATGTTGCTCTGCAGGCTGAGGTGACTGAACTAGTGGACCATATTGTTCCAGAATCTGAACAAGTAGATGTGACACCAAAAGCTGAGGTGAAACAACCTGCTAATTCAACAATGGAGGTGACCCAAGAAATAATTGGATCTGCTGGTCACAGTGATAGGCTGCAAAGTCATACTGATATTGTAGACCAGGTAACTCCAGTCAAACAAGCTGCCAAAATTCAGCTGGAAGTATCTGAAAATGATGGGACTTCGGCTGAAACTGAGTCCACAATTGCAGAGAACGTACATAAAAGCTCAGATTCAGATGTAGACCAGACGGCTCCAATCCAACAAGCCGCTGAAGTTCAGCTGGAAGTCTGCGGAACTGATAGGAGTTTGGCTGAAACTGAGCCAACTGTTGCAGACAACAAACATGAAAGCTTAAATTCAGATGCTGCAATAAATCCACAAAGTACAGAATCAGCAGGGTTAATGATGGGAATTTCCTTGCTTGTGTTGAGTCTAATATCAGTTGCTGCATACATTTATATGAAGAATAGAACATCCACCGAGCCAAATGCTGCAATCACAGTGAATCAAGTGCAATTAACCAAGAAACTTGATCACAGTCCCTTATCAGTGACCACAGGACACACATTGCAGGAAAGGACTCCACCATCAGCAAATTGGCAGACAGAAGTTGAAACAATTGGAGAGTCTTGTCCATCAGAAATGAGCAGTTTCCAGTACAGCTTATCATCTTTTAGCAAGCAAGCACAGAGCAGAACAAGTGAAGCTTGTAGCAAAGAAAGGAAGCCAAACAGAAATACCAGAAGGGAGTCCCTAGCTTCATCTGAGTACTCCACAGAGTCGCCTTCTTATGGCAGTTTCACTACATATGAAAAAATTTCCAAGCAAGTCAGTCTATATAATATATATACATATATTAATACACCAGCATTTTTTACCATATCCAATTATTTATTTATTTATAATCTTTCTTGTGTTGCTGACTTCTTTATTGTTTTTGGTTTTGAAGGGAAATGCTGCTGAAGTGATGTTTACTCCGGTTAGACGGTCTAGCAGAATCAGAAACCAAGTCACTTCTCCGTGACACATTTCTCTCAATTGTGTAGTTTTATTGTGATTGAACCAAATTTTAGATTCTTAACTTGTAGTTTTCTTCATTATTTGTAGTTTGAACAGCTTCTCAGTTAGACTGACTCCACGCAGTTAATCATTAGCTTTCTGTTACTAATGTAGTTCTAATTATTATTAGTTCAATCTACTTTGAATTCTGCCTTTCTGTGATTCTTTTGCATTGAATTTTGCTTTATAGTGTCTGAAGCTCCAAATCATCAGATCCGTTTTTTGTTCATAGCAAATTATAATTCTTTAGCAAAATTTCAGTTAATATATATGCTAAATAAACAAAATCATTTTCCTTGTTTGAAAGAGATGTGAGACTGTTGCTACTTGCTATGCACTTACCGAGGATCGAACTTGTATTCTCATCCTTACTGGGATTAAAGTCGCTAACCATCTCACTAACACCAGCTTGTTGGTGTACATGAGATAATGTTAATAGTGAGATTCCTAATAGTAATATTAATCATTGATCACCTCAATTTAAATGTATACCATTGATCTAATTAGCAACAACACCTATAAAAAGGAGTACTTAGATAACTAATTTTTAAAATAGAAAATATTAAAAATATATTACATTTTTTAATTACATTTCTAATCCGATTTAATAATACCATGAAAAATATTTTCTAAATTAATTGTTGAAATCTTTTAACATTGCATTATCCCAAAGAAAATCTTTGAACATTTGGGCTTGGGTAAGTTCATTACCCGATCCAGCCCACTGATACAGCTACGCGTCAATATGTGGAGGAGAAAAATTCTGGCCATATTTATTTATTTATTTATTTTGGACAAAAAATTTCAGGTGGTTATAATAATACATACAAAAAAAAAAAAAAAAAAAAAAAATTATTTATTTTTGGACAAAAAATTTCAGGTGGTATAAAATACATACAAAAAAAAAAAAAAAAAAGCCAAACTGGGATTTCAGCCTTATAAAGAAGGCCATGGAAATGAAACCTCAAAGCTTCTTGAATTTTACGCAAAACAGAAAAATACAGCTTTATTCTTGATCCGTCATGGCCGCTTGAATGTACAGCCGCTTCTCCTTCTTCAACTACTCACTTTCTAATAATACCAAAACATAACAATAATCTTTTCAAGCTCTACTCTTCTTGTAGAAAATTATTAGTGTTTTCCAAATCAGAGAGTGCCGAAAGTACTGGAGTAACAGAGCAAGATCTTCCTTCTTCGTTTTCTGGTATGCTTATTAAAAATTTTCAATTCAAAGCTTAAGAAATTTAAATTTAATGGCTTTTAAATCTTATTTTATATTTTCTTTCTAAAAGGGTCAATATCTTCTACTCGGACACAGCTAGATCTCTTGGATCAACTCACATCCACAACCCCTTCAACAGCTGACACCACTGGTATGTTAATGGATATTTCTTGAATTTAGCATAATAGCTATTTGCAGAAACAAGAAAGCACTGAAATACGAAAATTTTTGGTGATTTTTGGTGATCAAGGTTATGAAAGTGATGGGCGTTCCCGTAGACTTACAATAAGGGAGCAGCTTTGTGAAATTTAGTCGGAGAAGCAGCTTGTGAAATTAGTAGGAGAAAGAGATGATGATGAAAATTTCAGCATTCCATTAGGTAAAAATCTGAAGAAGGTTAGTCCAAAGTTCTTAACCATTTCACAGAAAAGAAACATTAGAAGACAAGCTTATTTGAATGAAGTTTCTCAAAGGAATGATTCAGTTTTCTTTGCAACTATTGGAGCTTTCGTAATTCTTCCACCTATTGTCATTTTAGGAATTGCTATCTTAACTGGTTATGTGCAGCTTTTTCCATGATATTTATGTATATATATACTTAATCATGACCGTTGTAGAGAAATTCTATACTACTCCAACTTGATGTTCTCAGTTTTTGCTTAGCTAATATACTTAATATCATAGTTAGAATAGAACTATAAAGTTACATAAAACTCATTTATAAAATTACAACATCCAAATGGGTCTTATAAGATGTAACTTTTAATTGCAAGTTTCCTCTGCCCAACAAGAAATTGTAGCATCTGTTAGACCATGAAATGAAAGAAAATCTGCCATGGTAATACAGAAATTTCATCCATATATATGGTTTAAAAAGAAAACATACCAATGATGTAAGGAAAGAGCAAGACAGAAGACGGCATCCCAAGTTCAATAAAGGATAGCAAGTTGCAATTCCAACTCAGCCGCAGTTTGCTCTGCGTTTTGCTTTAACCGGAATACCAGCGTTAGGACCGATGTGGCGGAGTAATATCAAAAATTAAAATAATTTTTTATAACATCGTTCAAAAATAATAAAATTATATAACAAATTGATCGTAAAATACATTATAAGATTGTATTTCATTGAGATAAAAATATGTTTTTATAAGTATATTGCGAAGCCTTTCACCAATGTAGATATGTCAAAAAGGTTAGCATTTCGGGTTTGACACGGTTTCATCTAACATGCGACATAATTATGGTCAATACAAATAAGATATAAAAATTAGGCGGATTACATGAACATGACACATGTAACCCTCCTAATATCATAAGTTGGAAATGTAAAAAAAAAAAAAAAAGTTGTATGTATATATTATGTTTGAAAAATTAATTGTTGGTCCCGCTGATTCTATTTTGGTTTTTTAATTTTAAATTTTTAATAATTTATGAAACTTTTAGAAATATAAAACACTTTTATCTTCTTACAACTTTCCTAAATAATTATTATTTCCTCACACTTTTTCAGAGACTTATACTTAATTTCCATATAATGCAAACTAATATATAGACTTTATCCTTAATTTCCATATAATGCAAACTATATATACTATATATATATTTATATATATATATATATATTTTTTTTTTTTTTGACTTCAATTTTAAATAGTTTTTTTTGACTTCAATTTTAAATAGTTACTTACTACAACATCCTTAACCTCTTCCTCTTTCTCCTTCCCTCATTCTCAATCTCTTCGTCCTCCTCGTCCCGGTCATTCTCCTTAATGTACCGGCGACCATCATTGCTCCCGGTCATTCTCCTTAATGTACCAGCGACCATCATTGTCAGCAGTCAATGGATGTACACCACATTTGATGATATGAAAATCTGGCATCCTGCTCCCGTCGTTATCTATGGCATAGAATTTGAAGGAGGCCTGCCTCAAATGATATTTGGACATAAATACATTTGACTCGTACCAAAAGACAACGTGTTCTGATTGGAGGGTAATGCCATCTTTGTTAGAGAAATATTGCCTCAACTGGTATTTGGACTTGGCAGTAAATACATCAGGAGAGTCACCGTATTCAGTAATAAACCGGCAATCACATTGAAGGTCCGAAAGTGGAGTATTATTGCCTTGGCATGAAACAACAGCGGAAAAAGCGCAACCCAGCATCTTAGGACTGTAACCTGCCTCGAGCGACAATGATAATGAAGATCCAGTACTTTGATAGGTGAACCAATTTGGGACTTCAGTTCCAGGTTTGCACAACCTAACTTCACATAGATCTTCGCAATCAGATGGATGTTCCTCATCATCAAATTCCTGAACAAAAAGAAAAAAAATATATATATATAACACAATTGAGAAGGGTAGGGAGAGAGGGAGAGAGAGAGAGGAAGGGAGAGTAGAGAGCTGATGAGACAAAAATGCTTTTATACTTCGCATTTTTAGATATGCTTCATTTACAATTTTATTGCACGCATTTGGAACCAGATTGAAGCAATTAGCAAAGTTGAACAACCCTATAAAATCTCCATACCCTTTGTCACCTTCGGTGAATAACATTGGTAATGATTCAAGAGAACTGCAGCTAGGCATATCCACAAGTTCTAACCCAGATGGAAGCTGTGGCACACGTTGAAGGTTCTTGCAATTACTTAAATTAAGTATAGTCAGGTTAGTAAGTCAGTTTGTGAAAGAACTCTCAAATGCTATTATATTTTTTCCTATATTTAGTATACAGCAGAAGCAGATAATTTATACAAGAATTACATCGAAATTCCTACGTACTGAGCTGCACCTTAAACTGAAAGATTACAAAAATTCTTGTAATCTTGTATAAATTCTCTGCTTCTACTGTATACTAAACATAGGAAAAAACACAATAGCATTTGATACTTTTCGAACCATAAATCATATTCAGGATTAGGAACAGGAATAGTAGACCCAACATTGGTGATAGTATTTGGTGGTGCTGGTTTAGAACCATCAATGAAGCCATGAAGTTTCTGGTAATTAAGCAAAGGAGTGAATTGCATTTTTCCATGCAAGATAGTTTTTGGTGTTTAATTTGATAGAGAATGAATGTGAAGTTTAATTTGATAGAGAATGAATGTGAAGAGGTATGAGAAGAGGACATAGAATTGAAAGGGATGTTAATGGTAGATGTAGTGTTAGAGGAAGACATAATTGATAACTAATGAATGGTTTTAGCTCTGATACCATGAAAGAACTCTCAAATGCTATTGTATTTTTTCCTATGTTTAGTATACAGCAGAAGCAGAGAATTTTATCTATATAAAATTGTTTCCCATTCTATTGGACTTCTGTTATATAAACAAGAGCCTAAAACTCTAAGAGCTAATGGATGGCGCCAAGCATATTCTGTTGCCCTTTTTGATAGCTTCATAAACCCATCAATGGGATGATTTTGTTTAAAGGCATCCTTCATCATCAGTTAAATTTTTAACCTCATTTATAAATTCTCCTCGACTTGCACTTCTAAGCAACTTCCTTTCTCTGCTTGTTAGAATAATTCTACTTCCTGCACCGTACCAATTACACTGTCCAATTAGCTGCGTTATTTGGCGTTCATCATTCACATCATCAAGGACAATGAGAACCTTTCTTTTCCGAAGCCTTCTGAAAATGAAAGACTGTGAAACAAAGGGGCTGTCGTATCTTCAATTTGTCATCCTCTAATATTTCATGAAGTATTTGATCTCGTGCATCAGTTACTGTACCATCTATATATATATATACACGAAAGCTGAAACAAGATAAGATTCAACGCTCTCTCTTTGTCCAACTTTCTATTTTTCTCTTTTTAGGAATTTTTGAAATTTTTCCGTGGTGATTGGACAATATTTTAGCTAATATTTTCCTATAAATTATCTATATTAAATTATTTAAATTGTTGAACTTTATATATATAAAATAATAATAATTATCCAAATTGTATTTGAGTTGTATTTAAATACAGCTGCAACAAAATTTATCCATGGTATTTGAGTTGTATTTAAATATGACTAGATCAAATACGTTCTATTGCTGTTTATCTTATCTTTGTAGCTAGCTAGGATTTTCTATTGTTCTGCATTACCTTGGTTTAATCCATGTTTAATCCATTATTTAATATTTTTTAGCAGGAAGTGGTAAAGAAGATGATGTCAGCTTATCTCAATGGATGCGTCTTCTCTTCATCTCCTTTAAAACACGAGTGAGTTGATTTTACGGATTTTTGAAATTTTATTTTATTTTCAAATAAGTTTTGTTGAAGGTAGCAGGGGTTGACAGGTTGATGATTGGCCGTGGGAGTGAGATCTTAATCAAGGTGGTTGCCTCTTGCTACTAATTGAAATTACTTTTCACTAAATCAATTCCTCTCTTTCGTCAATTGCTGGGTTGTAAGTTGGCCCAAACACATGCAAACACGACGTAGTGTTTCACTACAGTTAATTTTTTATATTTAGATTTAATATTTCTTTTTGTAACAGACACTATTTTATGTCAAATAAAAAATTTTAAATACAAATTTTTTAAAAATTTATTTTTTTATAATAAACTAAAGCTAAGAAAATTTTTATTATTTTTTTGATAAAATTATTATCTCAAGTAAAAAAATATTAAAAGAATAAAAATAAATAAAAAATAAATAAAATTTTTTAAATAATAAAATCTTTATTATTATATTGTAATATAATTTATTGTTTTATAATTAAAGAATTATTTATCTTTTCATTTCATTGGTTTTTGAAATTTTAATAGGTTTCTAATATATTTTGTTTTTGATTAAAAATTTTTAAATAAAAAATAAATATATATAAATAATCTTTTTTATTATTTTTATAAGCCAAAGATAATAAAATTTTCATTTTCTTAATATATAAATAATCTTTTTATATTTTATAAGCCAAAGATAATAAAATTTTCATTTTCTAATTTTATTTATTTTTTATAATAGGATTATAAACTTAAACATCAAACCAGTTTAAAAATTCAATTGCACATTCTATTTTCTTATAAAGAGATATTGGTATATTAGTTATTCCTTAAAATTTCTTATTTCTTATAATGAATAAAAATATTATTTTTATTTGTCCAAAAATAGAATAACATAAAATATAATACAAATGAAAGCATTTAAAAGAAATTAATAATAAAATGACTTTTAGAAACGGAATTAAAGTCCGTTTCCGAATTCCATTTCTAATCCGTTTCTGCATCCGTTTCAACTGTTGATACAAAAATTTCCTTAAATATTATTAGATCCGTTTCTAAGAACTGTTTCTAATCCGCTGCTTATCGGGTTCTACATTTGGTGCCTCAATTTTCTGCGAAATTTAGAAACGGAATGTTTCTAAATTATCTGTTGCTAGATCCGTTTCCAATCCGTTTCTTAATCTAATATAATATCTTGAACCCTATTCCATTGCTAATCCGTTTCTAAAGCCCGTTGCTATTCTGCAATTTTCTTGTAGTGAAATGTTTTCAGTGATATAACAAAATAGTTTTCAATGATGTTTTTAGCTAATTCAGCCAATTCCTTGTCAAGTATAACCTCTATATCCAGAGTTTGTCAATTCGTTGATTATTTGACAGTTAGTTGACCCTATAACATGCCAACTCACATTTATGTTGCAATTATTTGGTCATTCATCCTCACTTTTAGAATATTTACATTGAAAGGTTGCTTTATTGAGACAATCTTCTTCCCATCCAATCGCAAACTTGAAAAAGTTTAGTACAATTACACAATTAACGAATTCTTGATGGAACCTCAATAAGCAACTCTCAGAAAGTATTTACAAATTAAAAAACTCTCATAAAGTATTTACTTCATCCATGAGATTAAACTCTCGACTTTAAGAAAAAAAATTACTCATTCCAAAACTTATTGATTCAATAAATTATTTTTTGATAAAATGGAATGGTTAAATCACAGTAAAAAACATGAACTTTGATGTGATGTTTTTGGCTAATTCAGCCAATTCCTTGTCAATTATAACCTCCGTGTGAATTACACCTCTATCCAGAATTTGTCAATTACAGCTTCTATCCAGAGTTTGTTAATTTTGTTGATTATTTGACCGTTAGTTGACCCCATAATAGGCCAACTCACATTCATGTTGCAATTTTTCGGTCATTCATCCTCACTTTTAGAATTTCTACATTGAAAAATTGCGTTATTGAGATAATTTTCTTCCCATCCAATCACAAGCTTGAAAAAATTTGGTACAATTACACAATTAACGGATTCTTGATGAAACTTCAACAAGCAACTCGTAGTCAATAACCTCAACAAGCAACTCGTTGTCAATAATCCCAAGGTTTGCCAAGTAGATTTCTTTGCTTCCAGAGTTGCATCACTCAATTGCACCCAATCGGACTCTAGACAGAGACGACAATTGATAATAAAAAATAAATATATAATATTGATTAAAAGAATTAAAAATGTTGACCAAATATTGAAAAAAAAAACCCAAAAATTCAAGCTTTTTTTAAGTGATTAAGCAAAAAAAAAAAAAGTTTGTTTTGTTAACAATTAAGGGACTACTACCGTAAAACTGTTAATTCATATTTTTGTGGCACTCGATTAATATGAACTAATAGTACATTCCCTTGATTGTTAATGGAATAAAACAAATTCCTTTTTGTAAAAAAAATTCACTGGCCTTAAAAGTGAAAAAAAATATGTGGATGGCAAAGAAGCTTGATCAGTAATTGCACTTGATTGAATCATTTTGCTCGAGTTGTACATGCAAGATGATTTTGAATCATTTTGCTCGAGTTGTACATGCAAGATGATTTGGTGCAGCAAACAAATGCATCAATTCAATTTCAAGTTTCAGTCTCAGTTTTTTCTCCAGAAGCAAGCCAACTCTTAAAATAAAAGTTTCATAATATTATTAAATACTTTTCATTTGATAAACAAAATTTTATTTACAAGCCTACATTTTTTAATTCATTGAAATTCATTGAAGGTCTTTCTAAACTGAAATAATACTGCGAGTACCCAAAAAAGAGTAATCTTCCCCTTAACTTAGAGATGGCCATATTACGGTTCCGGGAACCCGAACCGTCGGTTCGAACCGGTCCGGAACCGGTGAGAACCGGAACCGGGCCGAACCGGAAAATTCCGGTTCGGTTCCGATTCCAAATTTTCTGGAACCGGAACCGGCGTCCAGAGACCGGTCGGAACCGGACTGGAACCGCCGGTTCTCCGGCCGGTTAGAACCGCCGGTTCGACACCGGTTTCGAACCGGCAGTTCTAGCAAACTTGTCAGGGTTTTTTTTTTTTTAAAAAAAATTTTGTTACCTGTGAAATTTGTCTTTAAGTTTTTAAGAATAAAATTTAATTGAAAAGTATTGTTTTTTAATTTTTAGTTGTATCTTTTAATTTTTTATGTTTCAAATATTTTTTTTTTTAAACCGACGTCTTCAAAATTTAAAATTATGTTAAACTTTTTTAAACAAAAAAATAAATTCAGTTGAAAATTTTTTTAAAAAAAAATAATTATGTTCAAGTCTTTAAAAAAAATAAATTTAATTGAAGTATTTTTTAATTTTTAGATGTATTTTTTAATTTTTATGTTCAAATAATTTTTTTTTTTTAAACCGGCTTCAAAATTTAAAATTTCAAAAAACTATGCCGATTTGCCGGAAAACCGATCGGAACCGTTCGGTTATAACCGGGATCGGAACCGGAACCGGGAACCGGAACCGGAACGGGACGGTTCCAAACCGGAACCGGAACTGGACCTTTTCGGTTCGGTTCCGGTTCCAGTTTTTCCGGAACCGTGGCCAAGCCTACCTTAACTTATCAAATTGGTGAAAACAATTATAGTCGGAAGGATTCTTCTCACTCCTCACATAAGTGAGAAGGCCAACTAGACCACCACCTGATTGACAATTACAAACTATACTTTTAAATTATTGACAAATAAAAAATATATATATAATAAGTTTAATACATACACGACATCGTGAACATTTGTAATGCACTTATACATACAAGTCCTACTAAAAAATAAGTTGAGCAAAGGGACAATTCTTACTGGTGTGGGGTGGGTGATTCAACTGGAATTTTAGTTAAGCTACAGCATAAAAATAAATAAATAAATAAAAAGTTGCCTTACAGCTTAGTTGGAGTTCCTCTGCAAAATACTTGGGCTGGCCGGCTCCCCCTAATTCCACCGCTGACTACAACATCCTCAACCTCTTCATCTTTTTCATTCTTTCTTTTCTTCATCTTCAACCTCGTCCTCCTCACCTACCACATTACTAAAGCTAAGTGAGGTATGGACGCCAACACTTAACAATCGCTTGTAATTGCGGACCGATTTTTCCTATCTTTTGCGTAGAATTTTCAAAGACTGTTTCTTGTTATCTTAAAGGGAGCTCAAATTCTCTCACTCCAAAAGACCACATGTCTGAATAAAGGGACCAAATCATGCTTGACAGTGACAAAAAATTCATAACGCCGAGGTATAATCCTCCTTTAACCTGGAAATAACCTAAGTTCTTTCCACAGTTTCACAGTCTCGTTCGTGAAAATATAGACGGTGTAACCAATACTTGATACACCATGCCAAACAGGGTCCAAAAACTTTGGATCTATAACAACACAGAGACCAAATTGCACCCTCTCTTGTTGTTTGGATGATGAAGACCAAGTCAGAGAATATCCACAGTTATTTTGATACATCATCCTTTGTGGCAGCTCATTCCCAGGGTAAAAAATGCTCTGTACCAAGAAAATCGCAGTTATTTTGATATAACCTACAGAGAACGGAAATTAGTGGTGTATATCTATATATATATATATATAGCAGATGAAGAGGGAGGAAAGGCATACCTTTCTATTCGGCGGAGGTGCGGCTAGTAAATGATCCACAAATTCATTACACTTACCCAAATCCAAATTGAAGCAATTAGAAAATGCAAATGCAACAATGTTGTCTAGTTGGAACTAGTTGGAATAAGCTGGATGCTGATTTCAGACTAGTGCAATTATTTCCGTATAATTCATATAATTTCGAGAGAGATGGAAGCTCACTTGGTAAATATTTTAGTCTCTTACATTGTCTAAAATTCAAATGACGCAGCTTAGATAGTTGTTTGATGCAATCAGGTATGCTCTCGAAATTATTCCCACCTATCAGTAACCATTCCAGTGATGAATCTGAACGGCAAAGACAGCTAGGAAATTCTAATAGGCCACAAGATTCTAGCCTTATGTACCTCAATTGCCTCAACAGATTGACAGAAGACGGTAGTCCTTTGATGCGAGTACCTTCAAGACCAAGCTCCGTTAGAGATTCTAAATCCCCCAATTTCTCTGGCAAACTATGGAGATTTGCACAGTTCCCTACCTGGAGAGTTTCTAATTTTCTAAGATTGCAGATACTGTCTGGTAGTTCTATTAAACCAGAATTGGTTGCATCTAAGCCCCCTAGAGATTCCAAATTCCCTATGTTTTCTGGCAATCTCTTTAGATTTACACATCCTCTGATTTGAAAGTATGTTAGAGACTTCAGATTGCAAATGCTGTCTTGGGAGACTTTTCAAGCATTGTAAAAATCATCAAGTACAAATGAGGAAAAGACGAGAGAAGAGACCCAATTGATGAGGGCACCTTTTTCTATTCTAGTTCGTGCAAATGTGAGCTCCTCTATGTTACACGGGAACTCTGGGGGAAACTCTGCAAGTTTTAAAGCATTCAAAGGCCCCTAAATCTGGAGACTTTTCAAATCAAGGAGGCTTGGTAAAGTGCAAAGACTATTGCCCCAATTCGTTAGACGCAATACGAGTAAGCTTTGCTTCAAATATTTGGAGAGGGAAATCAACCAAACTTTCACAGTAACTCAAGATCTAAAAAACCCAGTTTCGCGGCGACTTTAGACAAAGTCTGGAATTCTTATAGCTTCCTTAGAGTTACTGAATCGACGGATTTCACGAATTTCAAATTTCCCAGTTGCTGCAATGAAAAAGAAGTGTAAGAATAAAATCATATATCTAAGGTTCAAAAAACTACCTGCAAAGAAGCATTCTAAATCCTACCTGAACTCCACTGCAAAGTTCTTTTAGTTTGCTTTCCTGCATGCGCAGTTCGACCAGATTCTCTACATAAGAACCCAGTGGCAAAGATTTTAAAGGGAATCGATACCAGTGGAGTAACCTTAGCTCTTCTGGCAGAAAATTGAGACCTTTAGGAAGGTATAATTTGATTTTACTGTGTGAAGCATAGAACATGAGAAACTTAAGATTATACATTTTCTCAAAGGCTGTAGGTTTTAAATTTAGCTCTTTGGCAGTAGACATGTCCAATGATATGCCTTTAATTGCTTCAGTCCCCTGAAAACAAATAGCCAAAATAAGTGCAAAAAGAAATCCAAACCAAAAGGTCATTAGAATTTGAAGTTTTTTTTCTAAAAAGTACTAAACATTTTTATAAGCTCAAAATATATAACAATAATATTACTTTTCAAATAATTGATTTCTTGCCTCTGCTCTTGTTAATACGTAATATATATCCTTGGATCCACAGCCACCCACGCTTTCCAACTTGTTTTTCCTCGGCGAACCAATATCCTTGCCCATTTGCATGCTAGCAAGTCATGGCATATGTAACTGTCATTCCTCGTGATGGTGATTGAGAGATCTATCAACGAGGACGACTTATTCCAAATTTTGAACCAGGACATCCAATAGACTTTCAACGCGATGTTTATCTTCTCCTTTTAAAATCTTCTCCTTTAAACATGCATGCAATAGCGAGAAAGATTTCCTTTTCATTCTCACGTAGTCCATCATAACTTATTCTCAATATATGCTTGATTTTTTCATCAAATACACCTTTTAATTGTTCCAATTCATCTACCCATACTTCTTCACTCTTGCCATACAAATTGGAACCTAAAACTTTGAGAGCCAATGGAATGCCCTGAGCATGATCAATGGCCATATTGGACAACTCAAAATATCCTGTTCTTGGAAATTTTTGCTTTAAGGCATGCTTGCAAAACAGGCAGAGAGCTTCACTTTCATTTAATTTCTCAACTTCATATATTGTGGCACCACAGTTCTTAAGCAATTGTCTATCTCTGCTTGTCAAGCAATTGTCTATCTCTGCTTGTCATAATTATTCTACTCCCTTGACCATAATCAGCATGCTTTCCGATTAAAAGTTCTACTTGCTGCACTAAATCATCCACATCATCAAGAACTATGAGAACTTTTTTTCTTGAGAGCCTACGTCTATTGAAAAGGGACAACGTACTACGATTACTTGAATTTTCTGCCTCTAATAGATCAGAAAGAATTTCCTTTTCTACATCACACAATGTGCACTTTTCTAATCTTTCCTTAACATTTGCAACAAAACATCGGCTTGTAAAATGAGCAGAAATTCTATCAAACACTTGTCTAGCAATGGAAATTCTATCAAACACTTGTCTAGCAATGGTTGTTTTGCCGATACCGCCCATCCCCCAAATTCCTACAACTCGTACATCTGGCGACCCAAGGCATAACAATGACTCGACAATCTTGACTCGTGAATCAATTCCAACTAACCCATCATCATAAGCACCACTTGGATACACAATATTTAGTTTCTTCAAAGTATAGATGACAATTTCCTCAATTAACTTGGAGTCAGACCTGGTTATATACATGGAAGGTACGACCAATCATCCACTAAAAATATAAAAAAAATAGGTAACCAAATTTATAAAGAATACTAACTAGGTTTACGGCTAAAATAAAATTCAGGAATCATATAAACATAAAATAATAAAATAAGGACAATTGTACTTGCTTAATCTTTTGTGAAACCAATCCTGACATTTCTGAAATTTCTCTAAGGGCTTGGCACCAACTATCAACCTTGTGCAAATAATCCGGTTCTTCTCTATGCTTAGCTATGGCATCCCCAAATTTCCCTGTCAGATTTTGAACATGGCTTGGATTTACTCGGTAAAAAACTGGTAAGACCATCTGCTCCATTGTTTTGTTGCACTCAAGTATCTTCACAAGCTCATCCAAACACCAGGGAGAATATGCATAATTTTCGAGAAAATGGACCACTGAGAATATGATTATCAAATTATTGCCCAAGAGATGAAGAGATGTCTTTTCACCCCCTGTCAAGTTTTTCATCCACAAAAAGCAACTATTTCATTTTGACGTCAAAGCTTTATGAGGTGACTGAGAAATACATCCCGGACAATCTTCACCTCAAAATTAACGAACACATCGTACTGCTTCTCAGTTTCTTCAGTGGGGAAGTGGTAAGAAGAAAGCCATAATACATTACTCTAATAAAAAACAAAAAAAAAAAAAAGAAAAAAAAAAGAAAAAAAAAAAAAAGAAGAGAGAGAGAGAGAGTTTACAGATATATAGTTGGAGATAAGACTCCAAGATTTCCACTGCAATTACTCCGAAGGAAGGAGATTACACATTTAAAAGCATCAGAGCAGAAAACACAGTCGGAAAGTTGGTTAATTGCATCAATATATAATTTAATTGAATTTCACGTAATTATGTACGTGATAATTGAAAATTTATTTGTTTTTATTTTGTTAAATAAATTTAAAATTATAATAAAATTTAAAAATAAATAATAAATAATAAATAATAAATACATTATGTTTAGTTATTCTATACATTATAAAAATAAATAATAATAAAAATAACTAATAGGCCCTTCCGTCCAATTTTATAACCTCCATCAGTTCAATTCAAAAAATAATGATCAAACGAGAGAGATTAAAATTTTATACCTAATGTACCCTTAAGAATTATCCCATCCCCACCTCAGTCTCTCATCTCTCCTTAATCTCCGTCACTCTCAAAACCATAACTATTATTTTTCAGACAAAGTATTTCTCAATGTCAAAAAGTAAAGAAAGTTGCTCTAAGGACCGTAATTTTTGACTTAGCACCACGCTCTCCAGTGGGGTCAAACTGTTCCCCCCAAAAATGGTAAGTTCGGGACACTTTCCTGTTTTTTTTTTTTTTTTTTTAAAGCAAAGCAACATCACGTTGCATTATAACTTTTTTTTTTTTTTTTTTTTTTTTAAAGCAAAGCAACATCACGTTGCATTATAACCACAAAAAGGAAACAAGCACTGCAGGATAGTATCCCAAAGCTGCAAACGAGCGTAAGAATACGATACCAGAGCTAATGAACCAGCATTTATATTTATTTGTCTATGAATCCATCTAATGATTATATCAGGCTTAAAAGTTAAAAAAAATCTTGCAATCATTTAAAATAACACCAGATACAGTATAAATTATTCGAGTTCAAAAGGTATAAAATATCTTGACAATCAGTATAAATGCATCCCGCTAAAGCTGATGATCTTGAAGCCAAAGAAGTGAGGTTCCTCTTGAACTCTGTTTTTCCTGCTCGGTGCATTGTTTCAACTTTATTTGTTTCAAATAAGGGGGTTTAAAGTCAAAATTTGGAAAATTTTTTATTTCCTTGGTTATTTGAGAAGGTTCAGCCACATCTTCCAAATGGGAACGGCTATAAAGACTTCTTTAGGCAAAGTAAGGAAATTATTACTATTTAGTATTTACAACATGAAATTTTTACAAAATATTGAAATTTGAGTTTATTATTTTGTAAGTCAGCAATTTCAAAAAAAAAATCACTGTTACAAAATACATAAAAACATTACAAAATGTTAATAACAAAAGTTATAATTTTTTAATTCATCAACATTTAAAAAAAACAACTACTTTCTAGAAAATTTACAAAAATAATAGTAACTAGAACTATTATTTTGTAATCCGACAATTTTATAATAAAAAAAATCATTTTACAAATTTCTTAGAAATTTTACAAAATATTGGTAATTAGAGCTATTATTTTATATACCACCAACTGTTACAGAAAATAATCACCATTTACTATATATTAAGAAGCATTACAAGATACTGACAGTTTTACAAAAAATAAACACCTTTTACAAAGTATAAAGCATTATAAAAATTCGGTAATTTGACTTATTATTTTGTAATTTGGTAACTCTATAAAATACAACCAATTTTTACAAACTATTAGAAAGTATTATAAAATATTGACAATTGGAGCTATTATTTATAATCCGACAACTTTACCAAAAATATTTTTTACAAATTATTAAGAATTAGTTGAAGGCCCACGGTTTATACGGGTTGGTTGTTTTATGCTGTACATTATATTTTATAAATTATATTTAGTATATTACTAAAAGATATATTTCCTCTTGCATTATTAAATTATTATATTATAAAAATTATAATATATTATAAAAATGATAATACCATTATTTATGTCAAATAATTATAAAATTTGACTAATATGTCTAGATAATTCTAGATAGATAATTTAAACAATTTAAACCGTATATTATTATAGATAATTCTATAAATAGACAAATATTATTTATAAATTTAATTATTACAAAGCATCAAAAATACAGAAAATAAATAAAATTTGAATATTAATATACAATAATTCTAAATAAAAAATATTTAATTTAATTTAATATAAAGACTTAAATAGATTAAAAATAGAAAAGTTTATACAAAAGAAAGTTTTAACTATTTATCTATGTATATTTTATTTTAAAAAAAACTTAAATTTGAAATTTTAAAATAAAAATTTTTGAAGGCCTAATTAATTTTTAAGTTTTAAATTATAGTATGATAATAAAAATTAAAAATCAATCTCCAGTTAAATAGTAAAAAATAAAGAGAATTTATTAATAATTTCTTAAAGAAAATAACAAAATAGAATTCTTTTACTTATGAATACTAAATAATAAACAAATAATTATACGAGAGTCATAAACAAATAATTATATTATTACAAAATAATGTTAATCGGAGATATTATTTTGTTATCTAACAACTTTACAAAAAATAATAGTTTTACAAAATATTAAAAAATAATAAATAGTTATCTTTTATAAAATATTAAGAAATATGACATAATATTGATGAAAATATTATTATTTTGTAAAAATTATTTTAAAAAATATATTTTAAAAATTATTTTAAAAATAATTATCTTTTATAGAATATTTTAAATTATTATAAATTATTATGCGTTTAAAAATTTAATTGTCTTAATTCTCATTCATCGCGTTATAGAAAATGTCATTCCCAAAACGCAGTTAGGGTTAGACTTTAGTAATAATTTAATATCAAATGTGTACAAACAAAACAACCCAAATTTCCACTTCTCTTTTCCTCCCTTAGCTACTTTCCACCGTCCAAACATCAGCTTGCTCATCTTCTTTTGTACGCAAAGATTTACTCATTACTTGTTGACTGCGCCCTTATTATTGTAGCGATACTTTTAAATTTTCTTCTGAATCTCGGTTAATTGAATTTCTTACTCCAGAAATTATACGTGCCCCATAACCACAGTAAAATATGGTGAAAGGACAAATAGTAATATTCTGTTAGTGGGCGATGTAATGATGCAACGTGTTGATGATGTCATGATTATTAAATTTCATGCCAATTTTATGTTAGCAACTAGTTATATGGCAAAAAGTCCATTGATTATCACCGAGTTAGCTGCCATATCATAAAAATTGGATTCCACTAATTTGTCACGTCAACAACTGGAGACATCTAATTGTAATATTTTATAAATTTTAATTGTAATATTTTATAAATTTAGACATTCAATCATTGTTGTTCTTCGTTGAGACATCAAAATAGAAAAGACATAGAAAGTTCAAACACTAATAATATAATTATCCTTTAAAAAATTAATACTAATGGAGTAATCTTAGCTAACGGGAAAGAAAATGAACGCCTTGAGGAAGGAATAATTTGATTTCACTGCAGAATGAAGCAGAGAACTTGACAAACTTAAGATAATACATCCTCTAAAGGTAATTTAATTTTAATTAGTTATTGATTTGTCTATTTAAATATAAATTTTTTAGTTAATATATTTAAATATAAAACTTTATATGCAATTATATTGTAGCAAAATATGATTAAAGTTTTTTATATTTAAATAATATATCATTTTATATACTATTTCTTTTTTTAATATGATAAGATTTAATATAATAAAATATGATAATAATATAATTAAAGTATAACCAAATGAAGACCAAGGATCACAAGTACTATTTACAATTGACATTAGATTATATTATTTATTAACTAAAATTTTCTTATTACGTTTGATTAGTGTAAATAAAAAATAATATTTTTACAATAAAATATATATAAGGGTAAGTTGATAAACATATTATTTTAATATACTATAAATCTATAAATATATTAAATTAACTATATATTGAGAATACTAATTAAGAAGTTTTGTTCCATTCTAATTAGGAATTACTGAATTAGAGTCCTACTGTAGAAAAACTTTGTCCTATCATATATATATATATAGTTTAAATTACTTTTGGTATCAAGAATTTGTTTATTTTTTTTATCAATAATTTTTGGTTTTGCTATCAAGAATATGTTCTTATTGTCTTAATAATTATTTTATATGTAACTGTATATGCTACATAATTACATTTTTTTTAATACTTTTGTGGGAACGACGGTATGAAAGACTAAACTGATATTCAACGTGATGATTATGGCAAAAATAATGAAGTATTAGAATGTTAGTCACAAGAATGGATTATTAAGAAAATAATATTAGTTGATTTTAAGATAAATATTATATTTTTATTATCTATTTATTATTAATCTATTTAATTTTATATTTTATTTTAGAAAATATTTATTACCTTCTCTAACATTCAAACTCTAAATTCAAGAAAATAAATAGTTGAATAAAATTATATATCAAGCTAGCTAATGGATTTAATTATTTATAATATTGAATGTTCAAAATATTAATAAAACAAAAATCGGTTAAAAATAAGGTAAAATATTCATAATATTAATTAATGATTTCATTATAATATATCAGTTTAGATACACTTAGGTTTCATATTGACACGCCCTAGTTGTTGCTAATAATAGTTCCAGCTCGAATTTCACCGACTCCCATAAATTATATATTAAATTAAGAAAAATATCATAAGAACTATGAATTTGATTGTTAATTTTACATTTAATTAACTATTTGGCCAAATTTAACCTTAAACCATAACTCCAAAAACCCTAGCTATGACTTGGCTCAAATCGTTCCATGAAACTTAAAACTAATTGAGGAAAATGGTGAATTAACAAGAGATTTATAGATATACAAAAGTTAAAATATAAGTGAGAACAACGAGTAGAGAACAACGAGTAACATATAATAAAAAAATATGAATGAGAACAACGAGTAA